CCCCCGCCCCTGGCCCAATCCCCCCCTCCATAGAAAAGTGCAGCCCCAAAATCTTGGCGTGGCCCCCCCATCAACAATTATTCCCTCCCTCCCCCCCGCCACTGCTCTACAGGTATCAGACCCATTGCTGTCCTCTATCTCCCCCTGAACAATACGTCCTCGCAGTTCCCCGAATGAGCCTGGGCACGTCACAGGTAGTTTGGCAGAGTTAAGTGTGCACTTGTTAAAAGAGCAGTTCTGGGAACAGCCCCGTCCCCAGAGGACACTTTGAACGGGCACCAAATAAAACATTCACAGCCCGCAAGGGAAGCGCCGGCTGAACGAGATTGTTTTCTCAGGCTCCAATAAGCGTGTGCACCCGGCACAGCTAGTGACAGTACAATCGCTCGGGGACGGGTTCACTGTCTGCTTCCGTCTGCCTTCGGGAGTTTGAGGCCGCAATCCAAAAAGAGCCAGGGATGGGGCAGTGAGCCTGGCCAGGGCTGGATGGGGTATCAAGGTCATGACTGGGGACACGGCTGCTCCTAGGAGCTCCCCTCAGCCAGGAGAAACAGCGCCCAAGGTTAAAGGTGTTTTGGAAGCCGAGGGCTGTGCCCCGGGGAACACAACCGAAAGCCGCTCCTTGGTCTTACCTTTCCCCGAGATACCACTGCGGGCAGAGGCAGGTGAAGCCTGTTTCGGAGTGGAGGCAGGTCCCGCCATGCAAGCAGGGCGTGGATTCACACGGGCTGTCCCCGAGCTCACAGCGGTTGCCAGAAAACTGCCCCGGGCAGATGCAAGTGTAACCTAGAGCGGGCGAGAGAAAGCGAGGTGAGGCTGCTGCCCCCGCGAGGAGGGTGGGTACCCATTTCTGGCCCAGAGTGCCCGGACAATCCAACCCCTTAAAAGAGCAGCGGGGGTGAGCGTGGGTTCGAGGCAGTGTAAAACGCAGCACAACCGGAATGTGCCGTGCAAAGAGCAAAGAGGGGTTGTCCTGGAACTGGGGGGCAACCGAAGTGCGGCTCAAGTGAGGTCCTTAAACGCAGCGGGTGGCCGTGTCCCCCCCGAGAGGGCAAAGCCGACCCGCCGGCTGCAGATTTCTACAACTCTAAGCACAATGCCACGGAACCTGCTGTTTTCTGTCCTCGCCAGTTTCAGCCTGCCAAGCAGCCCAGCGAAAGGCCAAGTGCCAGGCAGCTCCTGTCCTGACTCGCTTTGCTCCGCTTCCCCGTAGGAGTGGCCGTGTCCAGGGCAGGAGGGAAAAGCCAGTGAGCTTAGGGTTTTGTTTTCCTGCGAGCTGTCCAAACTGAACTCTGAGCATGGGACTTTGAATGGCTCCGAGCAGCCCCTGGTCCACCTCGGAGCAGCCTAGAAAAGTCCCTGGGTATGACCCATCCTCTGGCTTAGACTCACGTCTGTATCACTGGGAAAGAGATGTGAAGCCACATGGCAGGCCCAAACAGCCAGGCGTGCGAACACAGACATGTACGTTCAGTCCTGCTCTCACCCCCTGTACTCCTCACCTTTCTCCTGTCCCGGGTTGGCTGGCCTTGCTGGGACATTTGTATGAGAGCCCAGCATATTGGCACAAACACACTTTGTTGCACGTACACATGCCCTGCCATCACGCATATACACTTGCACGAGTGCATTTGCACAGACGCCTGCACGCACACATGCCCTCTTGTGTGCACATGTAGGTTTGCACACTCACGCATCCCGTGTCTGTGCACTTTCCTGCCAACAAGTCCACCTGAGCTAAACAGCCGCCTCGCTGATAGGAATCTAAATCTTGTTACTCGAGGGTGCTGGCAGGCAGGGAGGGAGAAGTGTGCGTTCAGCCTTTGGATGGCTGCTAACCCAGCTAGGCGTGGGATTCTGCAGCAGGCCTCAGGCAGAAAAACCAAAGGAATCATTAGGCAGAGAGAGGTTCAAAGGGTTCTCTGTGTGTGTCTCCCACCAGTATCAAAGCCACCTCCAGATGCCTCCAAGCAAGGGAAACGGAAGTCACAGCGAGGGTGGCTGGCTCAGAAGGCTCTGTGCTGCAGTGTTACATTACCGCGTGAATCCCTCGCACCCACAGACATCAGAGCAAGAAGTTCTGGTGAGGAAGGGCAGTGCAGGGATTAGGGTGCTAGCCTGGGACTTAGGAGACTTGGCACCACTTCCCAGCTCTGCTACAGACATCCCATGAGGCCCTGGTGAAGTCACTTAGGGTATGTCTACACTACCCTCCTAGTTCGAACTAGCGGGGTAATGTAGGCATACCGCACTTGCAAATGAAGCCCGGGATTTGAATTTCCCGGGCTTCATTTGCATAAGCAGGGAGCCGCCATAGCCTGGGACTTAGGAGACTTGGCACCACTTCCCAGCTCTGCTACAGACATCCCATGAGGCCCTGGTGAAGTCACTTAGGGTATGTCTACACTACCCTCCTAGTTCGAACTAGCGGGGTAATGTAGGCATACCGCACTTGCAAATGAAGCCCGGGATTTGAATTTCCCGGGCTTCATTTGCATAAGCAGGGAGCCGCCATTTTTAAATCCCCGCTGGTTAAATGGCGGCTCCCCGCTTATGCAAATGAAGCCCGGGAAATTCACATCCCGGGCTTCATTTGCAAGTGCGGTATGCCTACATTACCCCGCTAGTTCGAACTAGACATACCCTAAGTCTCTCTCTGGCTCAGTGCCCCCATCTGTGAAATGGGGACAATAGCGCTGCCCTGCCTCCCAGGGGAGCTGTGAGATTGTCAAGGTGCATAGATAGATACAGCCCTGTGTGGGGCACTGAGGAAATCCTGTTACAAAGAGCTGCTGGGCAACCCGGTGCAGATGAACCCAAGAGCTGCAGGCATGAGTGTGTGTTAACGCCTTTCCCAGCTTCCCACCCCCGTCCCCAGGCATCACTTATAGGATGGGACTAAATCCTCATCATGTCTTGATGCAGTGTTTTCAGCTCCCAGACACTGGACCATCACCAGACCTCACATTATTCCATTCCCCACGAATGGCTCCTCAAGGCTTTGTAAAAGCCAGAATGAAGATACAACCAAATCCAAACCAGCGTTTTCTCAAACTTTTTCCCCATCTGTGTGCAGAATAAATTTTGTTGCGTGCACCAAAGCGCGTGCAGATGTGTACCACCAATAGAAACAATTGCTGCCAGCGATGGGTGGCTGTGGGCGGTCTGCTAATCAGCTGGGCAGCACCTGATTCTCTCCCGAGTGGCCGCGCAAGCGCTAGGCTCACAGGGAGCACTGATCCTAACCCAGCACGTCATGCACAGACACCAGGCCCTGTGCTCACTCCTCCCAGAAACAGTGGTGCACCCAGTCTGGTCTGCACAGTGGTGTTTCCAGTGTGCTGTTCACTGTGTGAGGGTGTTGCCACCTGACAGCCACGTGGTGAAAGCCCGGAATTCCTCTCCGCTTGGGCAGCCCCCTACAACTCATTAGGCCTGGCTGCTTTCCAAGCTGGCCTCCAGACTACTGATTCCCTATTGCCCTGACGGTAAGGGCTGGATACTCACGTACCTCCTCCGGGGGTCTGGGCACACATCCCGTCGTTGAGGCAGGGGCTGCTGCTGCAGGCGCCCGAGTGCGAGCAGCACGGCTCTGTCCCTGCCTCGTCCACGATCCCCTTGGCCTGCTTCTCCCCCGGCAGGAGCATCACGTCTTCGCGGTCGATTCTGACCGCATCCAGGCAGCCTCTGAACCCCCGAGTGACCCGCAGGGGCTGGCGGGACTGGACGATGCCCCCGAGGAGCAGATCCCACCGGGCAGGAGAGACACTGCAGGCCGCGGGCAGCCAGAGAGACGCATTTCCCAAGCTGTCGACGAGCAAGCGGAGGGATGCGCGTTTCACTTCCAGGAGGACCGAGTGCCACTCTCCGTCACTCAGAGATGCCAGGGAGGAGAGGTTCCCGGTGATATTGCCGTGGCAGCGGAGTCCGAGATGAGGCACTCCGTTCACGAGCTGCAAAACACACCCAAACGCCGGCGTTAGCAGCCAGGCCCCCTTGGCTTTCCACACTCCCATCTCCCCTCCTGCATAAGGCCAGAGATCCGCCCCGATTGCCAGGACTCAGAAAGGTTCAGCCAAGGGGCTCTTGCCACTGGCCAGGCATCCTGAGGCGTTGCCGCATGCTAGAAATGAAATGCCCGCAGGGCGGTTCACACGGCTCTCTCTGGCGGGGGGCGACTGTGAGTATCTTTGCAATGTCAGCCTGTCTCCCCGCAGTCTGGTGGACAGTCTCCTCTGGTCCCCTGCACCCACCAGATGTTGCCTTCTTGGCAGGGCGGGCTCGGGGGAAGTTAGGGAAGGGAGATGCTGATCTGGAGAAGGCAGCCCCTTTCGCCAGCGCTCCCCTTCATCCCCAAGAATTCAAATCTATTTTAACCCGATCACTGGTTTGGAAAAGCTAGGGAGGGGGTGGACTCTCCATCCCTAGGGGTGTTTAAGGCCCGGCTTGACACAGCCCTGGCTGGGTTGATTGAGTTGGGGTTGGTCCTGCTTTGGGCAGGGGGCTGGACTCGATGACGCCTGCGGTCTCGGCCAGCCCGGGGATTCTGTGGTTCTAATCCGCATCTCGCTCATGCAGCTCAGTCCCCGTCCTCTCCTGCGGCTCTTGACGGGTAGGTGGGGAGGGGCTCTCCGCGGCTCACAGCTCATGGCCTGTCAAGCCAGGAGCTGCCCTACCTTGTTCTGAGCAGGGGTTGAAAGCAGACGCAGCAATCGGCACAGCTGGGGCAGTGCACGGACGGACTCGGTGCTCTCCCCAGCAGCTTGACGGCTCATGCCACGTGGGCCTATGACCATGCGGGGCCACCCGGGCAGGCTGTGGTCTGCAATATGTGAGGTCGCTAGAGGACCGGGCCATGCTCTAGTCTAGGGGCCACACAAGTCTAGTCTGTAGGACCATCCTAGTTCCGTTCTAAGGGGCAGGAAGAGGGCTGAGCCGGTGAAAACTATACGTCCTGTGAACACGCCAAACTGCATTTTTATTATTTCCTGTGTTGTTTGTTCTCCCTAGAAACGCCTCTGAACCCAAACCCAGCTCCGGTCACTTTCTCAAGCAGCCAAAGCTCCTTAAGATGTAAGGCCAAATTCGGCTCTAGCATCCCGCACGCTTCACCCCATTGGTCATGGTGCACGTCAGGGCAGCTGGATTTCATCCCTCCTGCCTCCCTTTGGGCAGAGCCCCGAGGGGAGATGGAATCGTCCCTGTGCTGTGATTCATCAGGCTGCGGTTCGGGTTCCGGCTGCACCCACAAGCCACGGCAGAGTTCGGGACCCCACGGAGCTGGGTGTTGTATGTAGGCCCAGTGGGGAGAGGCGCCACCCTGAGGAACGAACAACCCAAACGGCCTTTGGTCTCCCAGGTCTGTGCTCCGTGCCCCGGACCCCTCTTCCCCTCTCCCCACACAGCGCCACGCCACGTGGCAGCACGCAGAAGTCACATGGCTTGACTTCCCAGCGGCCTGCAGCCCCCTCGGATGCAGGCGCTCAGGACACCTGCGCCTCTGCCCCCCAACACAGGTGAACTCCACCCGTCAAGGGAGTTCTTGGCATCTTGTTACTGCAGTGGCCGCTGGAGCGGTGCCTCTTGTTGGCGTCCACAAGAAGCGCTGAAAGAATCTAGGCAAGCCAGAGCAGCTGGCAGTGCTCCCTGGGAGGGGCAGGTGAAGAGGGTGAAGAAAAAAGAAAGAGCCCTGCTGTAGTGCCCTGCGTTTTATCAGCACATTGGAAACCAGGGCCAGAGCTATTAATTCTCTCTGGAATCCAGAACTCCCTCCCCAGCCCTGAACAATCCGATCGTTGAACCTCTAATAGCTACCCGCACAATGCTGTGCATTGCCCTGAGCATGGTGGGACAGCGGAGAGCGAAAGAAGCATGTAAATGTGGTTTCGGGGTGAATTCAGGTGAAAACCCCTCCGTCCCCCTACCCCTAGGATACGTAAGGGAGCGTCTTCATAGAACCCAGGAGGCCACGGATAAGGAGAAGCTGTGGGTAGAATGTCAAACATTCAGGCTCCGGTTACACTATGGCTGAGTCTAGACTGGCATGATTTTGCGGAAATGCTTTTAACGGAAAAGTTTTGCCGTTAAAAGTATTTCCGCAAAAGAGCATCTAGATTGGCACGGATGCTTTTGCATAAAAAGTGCTTTTGTGCAATAGCATCCGTGCCCAGTCTAGACACGATTTTGAGCAAGAAAGCCCCGATCGCCATTTTACGCATCGGGGCTTTCTTACGCAAAAAATTCCTGTCCTGTCTGCACTGGCCCGCTTGTGCAAAAACATTTGCACAAGAGGGCTTATCCCTGAGCGGGAGCATCATAGTATTTGTGCAAGAACACTGACAATCTTACATTAGATCGTCAGTGTTCTTGCGCAAATTCAAGCGGCCAGTGTAGACAGCTGGCAAGGTTTTGCGCAAAAGCGCCCGCTTTTGCGCAAAATCATGCCAGTCTAGACGTAGCCCTTGAGTTTTCCCACAAGAACCAATGCAAATGAAGTGCAGATTAGCATTTTCTCATGCTTCATTTGCATGTTCTATTTTGTGCTGTTTTTGCGCTAAGGAATTTTGTGCAAAAACAGGCCTGTCCCAGAGAGGCATAAGGATCTTGTGGGAAAAGGGGGTTTTGCGCAAAACGGCCACGGCCACACTTCCTGTTTTTGCACAAAAACCCCTAGCGCAAAAACAGTGAAAGAGAGTATGCAAACGAAGCGTGAGAAAATGCTAATTCGCGCTTCACTTGCATTGGCTCTTGCAGCAAAACTCATAGTGTAGCCGTAGCCTCATTGAAAATTCTCCGCAGTTGTGGCCATGTTAGTCTGTATCTGCAAAAAAAAAAAAAAAAAGGTGTCCAATGGCATCTGAAAGATGAACAGAGTTATTAGGGCATAAGCTTTGGTGGGTAAAACCCACTTCGTCAGATGGACGGGAGTGGAAGTGACAGAAGAAGGTATATACCTAAGGAAGATGTTGTCCATGTTAATGAAGCGAATCGAGTCAGGGTGGAAGTGGATCATGCACAGCATTTGGGGTGTGTCTACACAGCACCCTAAACTTGAAATAAGATATGCAATTTGCACTATGCAAATTGCATATCTTATTTCAAAATCGCTTATTTTGAAATTTGGCAGGTCTACACAGTGCCACATTTCAAAATAACATGGTATTTTGAGCCATTCCTTATCCCTCGTGTAACCAGGTTTACCGGGATGGCGAAATAGCGCACCCTTTATTTCGAAAAATATTTCGAAATAGGTGGTTTGTGTAGACACAGGGTAGCTATTTCGGGATACCAAACCAGCCGTGCAGTGTAGACGTACCCTTGGTCTGGAGAGGTAAATATCCAGAGAGGGCAAATTGCCTTTGTAGTGCGTTAACCAGCTGAGATCTTTATACAATCCTAAACTGATAGTGCTAGAATTCCAGTTCAGCGGTCTCCTTTTGTAACTGGTTTTGGAAATTCTTTTGTAGGTAGATGGCTCCTTTCAAATCCATTGCTGAATGGTCGGGGAGGTGAAAGTGTTCCCTCACAGGTTTGTGTGTGTGGCTATCCCTGTATGATTGGTGTCCATTTGTCCTTTGTGTCAAGGACTCAAGGGACTCTTCTGGAGCGGGTCGGTTAATTCCATATGGTGCACAGAGATTCATGCAGAGCAAAGGAATTCTCCGTAAGGTGAGACTTAGCTCATGGTGCTGCGCAGCAGTCAGGTTAGGGGTTGTATCCACTCTGCCTGGGCTGCCTGGCCAGCAAGGTCGGGTTGTTCTGGAGGAACCCGGAAGAATATGTCTCTTCAGGAAGATTCGCAGCAGGGAATGCACCTGGATAAACCCACACTGGGCAGAGGAGACAGCCCAATGACAAGGGGAAATCTGTTTGGGAAGGACTTGTAGAAGCTGGCGGGGACGGTCTCCACTGGGTGTCCCATGGGGGAGCCGTGGATGTAAATCTCCACACAGTGTTGTGTAGTTTCCTTTCTCTTTTAAGCACAAGTTGAGCATCAATCATTGGCTTGTTCAAGTTTTGGAGGGGGAGGGGGCTGTGTTGGTCTGTTTCAGCAAGAACAGTGAGGAGTCCAGTGGCACCTTAGAGACCAGCAAATTAGGGCATCAGCTTTGGTGGGCTGGAGCCCACTTCATCAGGTGCCTGAAATGGAAACTTCCGTCTGGCAGGCGCACAAGCGAAGCTGGGAGTGTTGCATTGCTCTGCGGAGGACCAGGGATAACAAGGGTGGACGTGGCTTGTTCGGAGTCTGAGGCCAGCTTCGGATTAGGGCTGCCGACAGGAGGGGCAAAGGGAGCAGTGGCTCTTGGACTCAGTGCTTTGGGCCCTTTAAATTGTCGCCAGAACCTTACGCTGCGGGAAGCATGGAGGGCTGACTGGGGGAGGAGCAGTGTGGTCTGGGCAGTGCCCTACTCCTGCCTCGGCCGCTAACCTTGCCTCCATACACACACATTGTCCGGGGCCCAGTGGAGTCTCTGGCCAGCCCTGGTAAGGATCCAATGCCCCCAAAGTGTAAGAATCTTGAGGTGGGAAGAACGGCTACACTGGGTCAGACCAATGGTCCATCTAGTCCAGTGTCCTGTCTGCCAATGGTGGCCAATGTCAGGTACCCCAGAGGGAATGAACAGAACAGGGGATCATAAAGTAATCCCTCCCCTGTTGCCCATTCCCAGCTTCTGACAAACAGAAACTATAGAACTATTCCTACCCATTCTGGTTATTAGCCATTGATGGTCCTAACCTCCATGAATCTATCTAGCTCTTTTTTGGACCCTGTTACAGTCTTGGTCTTCACAACATCCTCTGGCAAGGAGTTCCACAGGTTGACTGTGCATTACGTATAGAAATACTTCCTTTTGTTTGTTTTAAACCTGCTACCTATTAGTTTCATTTGATGTCCCCCAATTCTTGTGTTATGGGAAGGAGTAAATAACTCATCTTTATTCACTTTTTCCACACCTGTAATGATTTATAGACATCTGTCATATCCCCTCTGTCTCCTCTTTTCTAAGCTGAAAAGTCCCAGTCTTTTTAATCTCTCTTCATATGGCACTCATTTCAAGGCCCTAATCATTTTTGTTGTCCTTTTCTGAATTTGTTCCAATGCCAAGATATCTTTTTTGAGATGAGGTGACTACGTATGCACACAGTATTCAAGACGAGGGCGTACCATGCATTTATAGAGAGGCAATAACATATTCTGTCTTATTCTCCATCCCTTTCTTAATGATTCTTAACATAGTTTGCTTTTTTGTCTGCCGCTGCACATTGAGTGGGTGTTTTCAGAAAACTCTCTACAAAGACTCCAAGATCTCTCTCTCTTGAGTGGTAACAGCTAATTTAGACCCCATCATTTTATGCATACAGTTGGGATGATGTTTTCCAATAGGCATTACTTTGCATTTATCAACATTAAAATTCATCCAGCTTTTCGTTGCCCCATCACCTAGTTTTGTGAGATCCTGTTGGAAGTCACTTAAGAGTCTCCAGCTAGCCTGCCTTTTTCCTCCTCCTGGTGTAAAATGCTGTTTCAGCACCGAAGGAGGGTTTGGATGAGGCAGCGTGTTCCCCTGCAAGGAGGAACTTGTTCAAACCATTGTTACTACACACCCTAAGCAATCACACCATGCATAACAGATGCTACTGGCTTTGACTGATTTGCCTATTTTTGCAACACTCGGCACTTAAGGGCACCCAGAGTTTATCAGGGACCATGTCCTAATGATGTTCTGGTCCACAGGCAGCTGTATAGCAGAGCATCTACTAATTTTACCCACTGGCCAGGCATATCTGGCTATTGCTAGCCAAAGATGCCTGGGGCTTTGGTAGATGGGCGTCTGCACTCAGTCATTAAGGAGCCTTTTGTCCCCGGGGCTGGTGTGCCAAGATTGATCTAGATGGTGCTTGGTCCTGCCATGAGGGCAGGGGACTGGACTTGATGACCTCACAATGCCCCTTCCAGTCCTAGTGTTCTAGAATTCTATGACTGGCTAATTAGTTGTTTCCTTAGGCACCTTTCTCTTTCCCAGTCGCCCCTTGAGGGTTGAGATCAGCTGAGATGCTTAGAGACCAGGAGGCAAGAGCTTCCCAAGGAACACCCCTCGTTACGTAACTTTCCTGCTCCAAGGGCTTGCTGGAACCAGACTCCGTTGGTCTTAGGCTCATCTTTTAGGGCAGAGGTGGGCTTGCCTATGGCCCCTCCGGGGATGGTTTATTGGGCCTGGTTGGGGCAGTAGAAATGGTTTGAGATCAGCTGAGATGCTTAGAGACCAGGAGGCAAGAGCTTCCCAAGGAACACCCCTCGTTACGTAACTTTCCTGCTCCAAGGGCTTGCTGGAACCAGACTCCGTTGGTCTTAGGCTCATCTTTTAGGGCAGAGGTGGGCTTGCCTATGGCCCCTCCGGGGATGGTTTATTGGGCCTGGTTGGGGCAGTAGAAATGGTCAGCTTGTAGCTGGCACCCGAGGCTGGGCAAGGTAGAGAAGAGGGTACAAGAGACATGCACAGCTTCTGTGCCCCTGTGCAACAGGCAGGTACAATCGCAGTCCGGAAGAATCTTCCAACTCTGTTTTAAAAATGGATCCCTTGAAATTAGCATGATGCTGTCGTTAATTTATGCCAGAAGTCTCAATTACACAGAGATGGACTCAGGAAAAAAAGTAAGTCAATAAGTGAGGGATAAGATCTCAGACTTCAATTAGGGCCATTATACTTATTGAGGATTAGACAAAAAACTCACAAAACACAAGCCCTTTTCTGAAGGGCTCTGGCTTTCCCTCGGCTGCCAAGGTGGAAGGGAGCAGACACATGCTCCTTTGAATTCTCTAAAGAGTCACCAAGTGCAGCCAAAGAAAGGAGAGAGATCAGATTATGATGTTCCCGATTCTGGCAGCTGTCCTGAATGATGAAAGCCGTGGCAGGAAGCATGAGCCTAAAGGGCTTGCAAGTTTAAGCTTGAATTGGTTTCTCCCTTTGCAATGGCTAAAGGTGCCTGGATCGTGATGTGTGATGACATTTTATATGTCCCCACCTGCCCCCTGACCACCATTAAAACCGAGGTATTTAATCCACCGGTGGCCATCTGGACACCTTCTGTGCATCTTCTTGGGTGGCTGATGGATCCAGGCCCAGCCACTGAGGAAACTCGCATCAGGACCTGTTCCCTTTAGTAAATTAATGGAAAACACCACATTTAAGGGCTGCTGACTGGTTCCCTGGTGGGTGAATGGGACTGGGGTCCTTTTTAACAAGCTTGTGGGTCGGTGTTCCCAGGCCCTTGAATGGTACTTTTGTGCGTCTGTAGGTACAGTGTGCCAGGTCCTCCGCGGGTGTGAGTCCAAGTCAGCGGAGTGATGTCATTGTGTACCAGCTGAGAATTTGGCTCCTCGTGCTCCTTGGGTGATTCCTATATATGGGAACTTCACTTTCTGGTGTCCCTGGATTGTCTCCTGTGCTGCTGGTGCTATTCTTACTTGGTGCAGTGGCACCTGCAGGCTTCTCACCGTGGAGGTTGTGGCCGCATTGCACCTGGAGCTGTATGAACATCTCCAATGACATTTCCAGGGGAGTTCAGCCTCAGGCCTTGTCCACAGTGGCACGTTTTGTGCCAAAAACGGTCTTTTGTTGACAAAACAATGAGAGTATGTACACCAGTACATGCAACTTTTGTCGGGAAAAACATCTAGTTTTGGTGACAAAAATCTTTCACCGTGTTTGACTTTTCCCCTCCCTTTATTGTCAACAAAGAGCCAGGGTGGACTCCGTTGTTTATTTTGTCAAGAGAACTGACTTCTGCCAGTATCCCCCAAGCCTGCCCTGCTGGCTGTGCTCAGTGTTTTGTGATCTCTGCTGCCCTGCAGGCATGCACCCCTCCCCACTCAAAGCTCCAGGAAGTATCTGACAGCTGAGTGAGCTGCTCCGTTTGGGGAACACACAAAGAACAAATCTTTGGAATCTCCTGTTCTGCCCTTCTAGGAACACAGTGGCAGGCAGGCTGCTGTGGCAGGGGGTGGGCTGGGGAGACGGCTGTGCTGCTTTGACATTCCTCAGCACAGAGAGCTCATAGAGCTAGGAGGGAATCCCAAGAAGTGCAGGGATCAGCTTTGCCTTCCCACCACACTGCCCTGTGGGTTCCTTCCTTTGGTTATATTCTCCAGCGCTCATGCACTGGAATGGCCCATTCATGCAGAAATACCCCTCGGGCATTGCACATCCTACCTCCAGAACGGCAGTCCCGGTCCCGTTGAGGAAGAGCAGAACACCGTGAAGCTGGTGGGTTTTCAAGCGGAACTGCATTTGCCAGTCTCCTCTCTCCTGGAGCTGGTACCGTATGTAGCTGTGTCCGCTGAACCTCACGGCTGTGCCTGGAAATACAACCGGGTCAGCTGGAACCACGCTGAGATTCTGGATTGGGGTCAGCCCCCATTGCTTTCCCCAGCCCTGTGCTTCCCCACATTTCAGCCACCAGGACTCCTGCCTGGCCTCCCCCAGTCTCTACACAGATCTGCCAGCAAAGATTGTGATGACCTGCGATGCCCTTGCTATTTATATCCACCCCCTGCAGCTCTTCCACCCTAGTGACCTGCCGCCCCATCCTGATCTGTCCTGCATGCTCCCTACCTCTCCACATGCACGTCAGCCCTGAGCATCTCTTGAGATGCCAGACACATGGCTTTGCCTATACGTCCGTCCTGCCCTGCAGTGTCCCCTGATGTTCCCAAGAGAGGGCTGCCAACAGCATTGCCGGGAGCCCTGCCAACCCCTGCTGTTCCTGGGGCAGTGAGGAAATAACACCAGATCCCACTTATTGGTAACCCTTCGGTCACCAGCAAACAGTTGGTATTATCCAGCAGGTGTTAGTAGGCAGCAGGCAGGTTTCCAGGGCTGCAGCCAGGACAGGAAGCGCCCTGGCTGCAGCCCAGATGTGGGGACTTTCTACAGGGAGCAGGGGCAAACTCTGCCCGCACTCCAGGGCTTGGGGATCGACACGCCCCAGTGCTTCTTTGCAGGTGTGTCGCTCCCTAGCAGGGCACCGCCTGGAGAGAGGAGGAGGGAGGGAACTCTGCCTCCCCTCCCGGCTCAAAGTCCCTTACGTTCTGGGCGTCCCTGGGCAGGCAGGTTTGCTGGGCTGCTGGGATGAGCAAAGCACCAGCTGCAGGCAGGTTTGCAGGGCTGCCTTGTCTCAATCCTTCCTTCCCCAGCTGCAGCCTCCCAAACCTGCCGGCAGCTGGGGCCATTCTTCCCAAAAACGCTGGTAATAAACGGCAGGTCGTTGCCACTACCCGAATCCCATGAACATTAACGTCAATGAGACAGGACGGGTGCCTGGCCCAATGTTGCCGTTCACTGGAAGTTGTCAGGCACCGGGTTGCTGTTGAGCGGCATCTACTGTAACGAAACTATGAATCCAAATCCTTTGCCCTGATTGGAACCTGCCGCTTTTAACTCCTCTGTGTTTGGCTGGCCAAGGGCCAAAGCCCGGGAACCCAAAGATCAGAGTTCTACCCGGAGAGCCCAGACCCTTTTGCTCTCCCTATGAGTGGGGCCCTACCAAATCCACAATCCATTTTGGTCAATTTCACGGGCATAGGATTTTTAAAATGGCTAACGAACGTCATGATTTCAGATATTAAAATCTGATCTTTCATGGTATTGTAATTGCAGGGTCCTGACCCAAAAAGGAGCTGTGGGGAGGGGGGGTCACAATGTTATTGTTGGGGGGTGCTGCAGCATTGCTACCCTTCTGAGCTGGGCAGCTGGAGAGCGGCAGCTGCTGGCCAGGAGTTGAGTTCTGAAGGCAGAGCTCCTACCAGCAGCAGTGCAGAAGGAAGATGGCACAGTACGGTGTTGCCAGCCTTACGTCTGGGATGCTGGCTGGAGAGCTGGGTCCTTAGTCAGCTGCCAACACACTCTGGCCACCCAGCTCTGAAAGCATCAGTGCAGAAGAAAGGGTGACATGGGTATGGTGTTGCCACCCTTACTCCTGTGCTGCTGCTGGTAGAGTGCTGCCCTCAGAGCTGGGCACTCAGCCAACGTTACAACCACCGCTTCCTAGTTGCCCAGCTCTGAAGGCAGTGCCGAAGTAAGGGTGACAATACCATGACTCCTAAAATAACCTTGTGAGCCTCCTGCAACTCCCTTTGGGTCAAGACCCCCAATTTGAGAAATGTTGGTCTCCCCCCTGCCATGAAACCTGTATAGCGTAAGGGAAAACCCCACACAAGCAGTGTTTCTTAAACTTTTTAAGACCGAGGAAAACCAAACAATAATTTTTTTTATGGGGAACACCAAGAATTTTTTTTCTGAAGGGGGAAAAAAAAAAGCCCCCAGGGAGAAGTTAAGAAAAAAAAAAAAAGACGCTTGTCTCTTTAAGGGTGGCCATTTTGAATTCTGTTCTCTCTGCGGCATTCTGCAGCACACCTCCAACTACCTCACTTTAAGAAACGCTGCACAAAAGGCACGTTTCACAGGCAGACAGCAGGTTTCATGACCCATGATGTTCTGCATGGCTGTGAATTTGGTCGGGTCCTACCTATGAGTGACTTTACTCCCTTCAGGGGCTACACAGAGCCAATTAGTATTTAATGCCATATGACAGGAGTTGACCATTGGCCAGTGGAATTCTTCCTAGGGGCCAATGAAATTTGAAGCTCAAGGATGTTCGGTCCAGCCCTGGAGGCAAAGCCAGAATGGCCAGTTAATGGGACAGCAGCACCGCAGAAGTCCCTGAACTTTGCAACATGCCGGGGGATAATCCCACATGCTAGAGACCGGCATCGCTTTCCGAAGGGGGAGACGCCAAGAGCAAGGCGGAGGATTTCTCACCATTGCACGAACAAATTTGCTCCACGCTGTGCCGGGGTGTGAGAACGCTGAGTCGGGCGGTGCTGTAGGTGGACACCGTACCCGGGTCCAGCCGGATTGTCTCCTTGCAGACCCGCCGAGCACAATCTGGCCCATGACATGGCACGTGAATCGCCTTCCTCAGCTGCAGCCCTACCAGCTGGTCCATCTCCCCAGCCAAGAGAGAAATCTTGCTCGCTAGAGCGCGAGGCTCGTAGAAGGCATCGTGGGGCTCTCCGACGGCCAAAAGGAGCTCCACGCCGTCGGAGGCCACCGCGGGCTGTAGGCTGGCCATGTGGATGTTCTGCCGTCTCGTGAGCAGGGTGTTTCCCAGGAACCTTTGCAAGTTGCGCCAATGGTCCCCCACAAACTCCTCGGGGGAGAGGTGCCGGAAGTGCAGCACCACGGCCTTGTCCAGGGCCTCCTGGCTGAAGCACCACACGCGGACACTGACGGTGGCAGTGGTTTGGAAGGTGCCGTCGCTGACCGTCACGTTCAGGGCGTAGTGGCCGTTAGGAAGCTTCTTGCCGGCGACGATCTTGCCGTCGGTAGCCCCCACGGAGAAACGCCCCTCGCGGGGCACTTCGGCCGCCAAGGTGTACACCAGAGTGTCGTGGGGGTCGCGGTCGGTGGCGTGGATCTTGCCGAGCACGCCGCCTCGGAAGGCGCTCTCGTTGGTGGTGACGAATATCTCCAGGGGCAGCGCCGAGGGCGTGTAGCGGCTCTGCTCGCTCACCTGGATGTTTACAAAGGCAGAGGACGAAAGAGGAGGGATCCCGCTGTCTGAGACCTGTCAAGGCAAACGAAAGGACCCGTTACAGCCCTGTGCTGAGTGACACGGACCTCGGCTCCGAGGCAAGGCATCAAGAGGAGGGTCTCACTGCTTGTGTTTGAGGGCTAGGCCCGCTTTCTGTGCTGCGCGACCCTGATCTATCCGGTTTCCTGTGTCCTGCCCTCCCCTCCCCGTCTCTTTGGCTGAAGCAAAAGGCCCTGGAGACTAGGGATGTCAGATCCTATTTAAAAAGTTAGTTGGTTAGATGTTATGTTTCACCAGTTAGCTGGGATCCAGAGCTGGGCTGGAGCAGCCTGGCCACCGGTTACCCGGTTACTTGGCAAGCATCATCCTGCTTACCAGGTAACCAGTTAACTGGTTAACCCAACGTTTCACGAGGCATAAGTGAGCTGTTGACAAAGCCTTCCCTTGTCGACCGATCCGCGTCTTGATTACTGCGCTGTGCTGACAATCAGCTGAGTCGGCACAGCACGGTGGCCATTTTTATTTTAATGAAGCTGGGGATATTTAAATCCCCACTTCATTGACTATGGCGGGTAGATTATTTCACATGCCTCTGTTGGCAGAGGCATGTAGTCTAGACATACCCCAGCAGTATAGGAGCTGCCATTCCATAGCAGATGGGTGATCCCTTGAGGCGAGGACCCTGTCTCGAGCATTGGCTTGATAGGACAAGAGGCAAGAAACCTCATAATGGATGAAGATGGAACAATCAAGCCGGGGAGACATTTCTTTCTAACCTCAGGCAGTGAGCGGGTGGGGCTTGTGTTACTAGTAGTCATAATACTTAGCTCTTTGGGTGTCCCTTACAACTGAAGATTTAGATTCCTTGTATATTTTAGCCAATCGACTATACCTCTGGATGGCCGTTGGTCATATCAATGTCTAATCCTTCCCTGAATCGTATCTTTGTTTTGCCTCAGCGCTATCTGAAGTTCTAGCAGTTAATGGTTCATTGTGTAAAAAACCTCAGTTGTTTCTTTGATCCGTGTTCAATTTCATTTCTTTTCGTTGCTTTGGGGGATCCCTAAACTTATCATTCGTAAACAGGAGGGTCTGAGTTACAGTTTCGGTAGCATCCTTTATGTTTTATTTCTTCAGAACAGGCGTGGGGGACCTGTTTTGGGTCGGGGACTGCTGAGCCACAGAAAAATCAGTTGGGGGCCTCACACAAGTGAGAAGCAAAAAAACCAAACCAAACCAAACACCCTAAACTCTCGCTGACGTGGCCCCCAACTGAGAAGGAGACAGACTCTCCCCACATTCCCCTCACATACCAGAGCCTAGCGGGGCCCAGGCTAGTAGATTTTGTGTGCTCCCGCCCCACAGGGAGAGGGTAGCGGGGACTGGAACATCAGCGTGGGCTCCCCAATGCTGGGGGGGAGCCCTGAGACTCAGAGGCCAGATCCAGGCAAGCTGGGGGCTGTATCTGGCCCCCCGCTTCTGGCTTAGAGAGAGAAGGTGGGTGAGGTACGTCCGATATTGGATTAGCTTCTTTTTACCTCTTCTCATGCTACGGGTGACACTGTGGCTTAGTGCATCAGTGTGTCTCTGGAGAGGGTGGCTTATCATCTTCGTTATTTACCGGGCAATCTGAATCCCTACATTTCCGCGCCTCATAACACCTCGATGGCGTCTGGAAAAACGGTCACAGCTACAGAAGTAGCACAGTAGGGGGCGCGGTGGGAGGAGCCCCGGGGTAGAAAAGCATTTGGCTGAGGTGCACTGGCCGAGCTGGGGGGTGAGGCCTGCTCAGGCATTTTAACTCGCCGATAAAAAATAATTCTCTGACCCCGTTGATTTGTTCCCTCAGGAAAACCAGGTTAGGCTGGAAGCAAGTGACCCCCCCGCCCCCCCAATTCGTTTACAGGAGGCGAGTGTGAATAAAAGGGACGGGTTGCTTGCTGGCGTAGTTAGGAGACGCTTTCAGGAACAGAGGCGAGTCTCTCTGGAAATGGACGGTCACGAAAATGACGCCGAGAAAAGCATCCTACAGGGTCAATTGCCTCGCAGAGGTCCCCATGACGACACCAGCAAGTTGTATTGCTGGAAAAGCTGGCCCCCCAGTTTTGTGTAACGGTGAGCTCTAGAGGTGGGGCCATGGGTGTCCGGTGGCTTAGGCAAGGGGAGGCTTTGCCTTCCCATCCCGCCTGTCTGGCCCCACCCACACTCTGCCCCCAGGATGCCTGCTGTAGGCATTCTGGGAGCCGAGTGTTGCTGGAACTGTCTCCTCCTCCCTAGTGCTCTGGGAACCATGCTGCCTGCATGCCCCCCTTCTCTCTCTTGCTCTCCCCGGTGCTCCGGAGAGACAGGGGAGTGTGCGGCATGCTGCCTCGCCTCCTCCCCTCCGCAGGGGGTCGGGGCCTCAGCAGCGGCTGTCGGTGGGGCTGGGGAACTGCCTTTCTCAGTCCTAACTGCACCAACCGCCCATGGGAGGAGGCCACGTTTCAAAATCTGGATCCGGTTCCAAACGTCCCCAAAGATGGGAGGTTCTTCCAAGCTGGGCCTTTGGTTGTAATTTCTCTTGCCTCCATTGTTCCTGCACTGGCCGTGGTGAATTCATATCCCAAAGGGGTAAGGCAGGATCTACCTGGACCTGGAGGAGGTACTGCTCTTTTGTTCTCCTGTTCAGAAGAGAGGATGTCACCAGCAGGCCGTCCTGCGTGACACTAAAGACTTTCCCGTCGTTTCCCTCGGTGATCTGGAATGTGTACGGCGGCCCGTTCTCCGGGGAGTCTCTGTCGCTCATGATCAGCTGCAGGACACTGGTGCCAACTGGAGCAGTCTCCTGAAATATGGGAGAAAGGGGGTTGAGGGGAGACAGTCCAGATAAAGGCGGAACTGCTCTGAGTTCCCCAGGGACGCCGTTTGATCGTGGCACTGAAAAGGCACAGGGTGGCCGTGAGCACAGACATCTCTGGAAACAGCCAGCAGCCCAGGCCTGGTTTTGTTACGGCAAGTCCTGTAACTACAACGCTGCATGTGCTAGTTACGGGCAGGCCAGTGAGCAGAGCAGGATGCCATGCCGCAGCTAACTGCTGAAAATCCAGTGAACTCTCTCCCTTGCTATTGTTCCTTGTAACTTTGGGAGGAGGTGGAAACCTCCCCTGTCCCCTGGGGAATTAAAATTCTCTCTGGGCTTTCACTCTTTTGGCCCGTTGTGTGTATGCTGGGCTGTCGCTCAGCGTTGGCTCTCTCTTAGGGTACGTCTATACTGTACGGCTAATCTGGGATGCCCTGCGTCTACACATTGGCTCTCTTAGGGTACGTCTACACTGTACGGCTAATCTGGGATGCCCTGCGTCTACACAAGATACCCATTATTTCAAAATATTTTTGTAAATAATGGCCGTGCTATTTCTGCAACCCAGTAACTCTCGTTCCACAAGGGCTAAAGGAGGTCACAAAATAGGCACATTATTTTGAATGGTGCCCACGGTTTATGACTCTCACATTAAAACGGGCATCATGTTTCCTGTTTGAACTTTGCTGGCTTCAACTGTGGAGTACCTCTCTTTAGTGTACTGTCGGGGTGTGACTGCCATTATTAGCTATTTATGGGTATAGAGGAGTTCCTCTGGTGTGTGACCCACACATCTCCAGGGGGTTGTGTACTGGTCCATCTAGTGGCACCAAGACCACTGACAGAGGCTCCGTCTACACGATGAGTTTTCTCAGCAAAAAATATGCTAACGAGGGACTCATTTGCATGAGTCACGATCTCATTTGCATATTTGCAGCCGATCTGCTTTTGCGCTGGGGTTTTTGCGCAAAAACAAGCAGCGTGGACGTTTTCTTTTTGCGCAAAACCCCCTTTTTTTACAAGATCCTTTGGCTTCAAAAAAGGAGGTATACCAATCTACGGGGTTTTTGCACAAAAAGGAAACATCCATACTGCCTGTTTTTGTGCAAAAACCCCTAGTGCAAAAACAGATTGGCAGAAAATACGCAAATGAAATCGCGACTTATGCTAATGAGTCCCTCATTAGCATATTTTTGGCTTTTAGCCCATGTGGCAGAGACTCAAACACTAAGATCCTGAGGTTCCAAGTTCGATTCTGCCCATAGAAGTCTGGCGGCTGTTGGCATTACATGTGCACGTCGGGATTCCCAACTATATCAAAATTTGAATAATACTGGGCCTGATCTTGGGACAAGAACCTGTCAACCCTCAGAGTGAGAACTGGTAATTCTGAAGTAATCAACATAATATGTAATCCAGAGGTACAACTTCCAGCCATCAGCTTTTGCTGTGCTGCTGTCAGCCAGATTAAAAAGCCCTCTACTTCCAGATGTCTTCTGCCTGCGCAGGGATGAATAAGCCATGAATAAATTGTGTCAACTCTCTCTCCTTGACTGAGCATATTTAAGTTCCTTACTGAAAGGCTGCCTTACCTGCACCACCATGCTGTAGTTGAGCTGGAAGAACCTGGGCGGGTTGTCGTTGACGTCTGTCACCCGGACGCACACCGCAGCGTCGCCGAACCGCGCAGGCTGCCCGTTGTCTGTGGCGCGGACCGTCAGGGAGTAGCTGGGAATCTGGAAGGTGCCAGGCATGGGTGGGTGAGTGGGAGAAGCGGCAGGATGCCTGTGCTTCCATGGCTGGGCGTTTTATTCTCCCCACGTGCAGGTTTATTAAAGAGCACGAGGAAGCGGGAGGAATAATAACCGGGGAGCCGACAGCCTCGCTGGGCCCCGCTGCAAGGAGTGTGGGGGCGGGGCCCAGTTCTGTTCTCCCAGAAGGGGCGGGGCCTCTGGCAAAAGGGGCGGGGGTGGGGCAGCCAGTGCTCCGGTGGCAATTTAAGCAACTCGTCATTCCAGGAACCATCACCACACTGGGCTCTTTTGGAGCTCTGGGCTCCAGGACCACTGCCCCCTTTGTCCCTCTCCCCACCCCCCGGCAGCTGCTTGAATGATGATCGTACATAGCCCTTCTCTGGAACTTTCATCCGTATCTCTCACAGTGCATCCCCAAGAAAGGAAATATCATCCTCCTCTGTTAGGAGTGGACAGAGTCACCAAGACGGGAACTGGCTAGCCAAGGGTCACATAGGAGGCCTGGAGCCTAGCTAGGAAGAAAGCCCAGCTCTCCTGAATGCTGGTGCTTTACCCACTATACCGCACTATCTCTGCTCTAGCCCCCTCTTGCCCCCGCCCCAAGCATGTGCCATATCGGTGGTCCAAAGGCTCAGTGCACATGGCAGTTGGTTTCCCTGGCCTGGCCAGGGCAACGTTTTACAACGGATCATTCCAAGTCTGGCAGACAGACGGGCTCCGTGGCCAGGACACGTTCTCTTCCTTGGGCACTTCCCCAGTCTTTTCCAGCCGCCTCCTGGAGCTGTGATGCCATGTTCCTTTCTAACGCGCCCATCCGCAGCCTCCAGCCAGCGGCGGCCCTTGTGTCGGGCCTGCGACTCACCTCCTCCCGGTCCAGGTGCGTGGCAGTACGGATCTGCCCGCTCGTGGGGTGGATGGCAAAGTGTTCCAGTGGGTTCCCGCCCACAATGGCATAGGTGAGCTGATTGTTCATCACCCCATCCAGGTCGTCGGCTGACACCTATGGGGCGAGAGAAGAAGGGGTTCTGATCAAATGTCTCCTTTCCCGGGGGCGAGGTCCTGCTGGTTGTTTGAGGGTGGGAGGTTCTGGCTACGGCATGAGAGGGGAAGACGGAGGGTTGGCTTTTGGTCCAAGGCTTAAGAATACCGAATTGCCGCCGCCTGCCATGCCACTCTGCTGTCCTTCAGATCCCTCCTTAAAACTCCCCTCTGCCACGATGCCTACAAAACACACCACGACAGCCCAGCAGTGCCAGGTCCTCCGCTTTCCACCTCGTTGTAACAGATTCACTGCTGCCTTATGTTCTCCCCCTCTCTTCCCTGGCCCCAACCATCCATATTCTCGGTCCACCTCTTGCCGCCGGTCGTACAGAGCCTGTAAGCTCTGTGGGGCAGGGATCCTCTAATTATTTCGCGTGAGCAGCATCAAACCCGGGGTGAGGCCTCTAGGTTCTACCACAAGGCAAATCAGAATGTGGGTGCAGCGGTGAACCTTCCTGTAGGCTGCTCAGTGAGATTGGTCATAGAATCATAGACTCCTAGGGTTGGAAGAGACCTCAGAAGGTCATCAAGTCCAGCCCCCTGCCCAAGGCAGGACCAATCCCAACTCAATCAACCCGGCCAGGGCTTTGTCAAGCTGAAACTTAAAAACCTCTAGGGATGGAGATTCCACCACCTCCCTAGGGAACCCATCCCAGTGCTTTGCCACCCTCCTAGGGAAATCATTTTTTCTAATATCCAACCTAGACCTCCCCCACTGCAACTTGAGATCATTGCTCCTTGTTCTACCATCCATCACTACTGTGAACAGCCTTTCTCTATCCTCTTTGGAAGTTGAAGGCTGCTATCAAATGCCCCTCACTCTTCTCTTCTGCAGACTAAACAAACCCAAATCCCTCAGTCTCTCCTCATAGGTCATATGCTCCAGCCCCCTACTCATTTTGGTCGCCCTCCGCTGGATCCTCTCCAATGCATCCAGATCCTTTCTATAGTGGAGAGCCCAGAACTGGACACAATACTCCAGATGTGGCTTCACCAGAGGCGTCTTACCGTAAGGATGGTTTCCCCAACAGCAGCATCCTCGCGGACTTTGGTGAAGTAAGGATCCTGGGTGAACTTTGGCCCGTGATCATTGACATCAGTGATGTTAATCACCACCATGATGATGTCACTGAGAGAGGCAGAGCCCTTCCTGGTGCCCTCCACAGATAAGTAATACTCGTGGCTCCCTTCAAAATCCAGGCTCCCACTAACGGACAAGCGACCTGTAGATGTGTGCAGAGAGTAAAGTCAGGAGATGCCTTGAATGCAGGGCATAGAACGTCACACAGCGAGCGATGACTGGTCAACCACCAGCAGGCAAAGCCATTGTGACTACAGTTCTAGCCCATCAAACTAGGCCAGTAAAATTTGTGACTTCACATCCCGGGACAGACTCTTTTCATAACTAGCTCAACTCTGCTGTCAGACGCTTGAAGCAAAATATTTTTTTGCGGCATGGCAGCTACGGGATTCTCAAGTCGAGTCTCAAGTCACAAACAATGAACCCGAGTCGAGTCACCAAGGCAACTTAAGTCGGACTCGAGTTCAAGTCGTGGGACTCGAGTCAACTCTGGTTGAAGCTGATGTGGACGTAGGAGAGACGACCGACAGATCGGTATCAGCTGAACAGCGCTAGCTGTCCCCTTTGAATGTGGTGGCATGGGAGTCTGGCTTTGCCCGTGGGTATGTAAGCAGATGGGTAGGGTGTATCTCAGTGGATTGGTGAGAAACTGAAGTCTACATGAAAGCAAAGATGGAGACAGAACGTTGCAATCAAGTCGTCCTGCAATTATTACCCACGCCCCGTATGAACCTTTCCCCGGGAATGATTCTGCTCCAAGTCTATTAGAATGGATGTTCTAAAGACATGAGCCCCACAGAAAAGTATCAAGAGCATTGGGGCTGGGATGAGAGAGGGATCTTGGATGGTGATGATGAGCCTCCCTTGTTCCATCAAAGAGGTTATCTCGGGGAATCTGATGTTGGTCTTGCAGTCTGCAGCCTTTGTCCTCTCTTGGAGTAAACAACATGGCTCATGTTGCTAGCTTGTCAGGGCTCAGTCAGCACCTATTGCATGAGTAATAGCGCGGAAAAGTTAGCAAGAGCGTTGAGGCTGGGATGAGAGAGGGATCTTGGAAGGGGATGATGAGCCTCCCTTGTTCCATTAAAAAGGTTATCCCGGGGAATCTGATGTTGGTCTTGCAGTTGGCAGCCTTTGGGTCAGGGCTGAGTCAGCACCTATTGCATGAGTAATAGCTCCGGTTTTAGCCATGTTTGTTGAATAGCTACCTCCTAAAACCACTGAGCGTAGAACTCTGGGCCCTGTCAGATTCCTTATGGGCTCAGGGTGGAGAGTTTTTCCTCCAGTATCAAAGAAGGGAACAAAACCATCCTGAGCATTCAGAATGGAAAAATCTCTACTCTCTGTTCTTTGCTTGTGCATCAGACCCAAAGCCCTGCTGAAATCAACTGGAGTTTCTCTGCTGACTTCAGTGGACTTTGGATTGCTCTCCCAGAGACTCTGGTGTCTCAATATATGGTAGCGGAGAATTACAAACCCCTCCCTCCTCACAAATTACATTGCATATCTGGGCAAGAGAGAGCACAGGGCTGAGGGTAAGAGATGCGGAACAGGGGTGGGGGCTGTTGAGCTGGGACAGAAGCGAGAAGTTCTTTTAAAATATGAAACAATTTTAAAAAAATCACGTGGAGAGGGAGGGAGGGAGAGAGGAAGGGAGGGAAAAAGTTAAACAAAGGCAGGGAAGATAAGAGAGGAGAGAGAGAGAAAGATCAAAGGAGAGAAAGGGGAAACAGATGGGAATGAAAGAAGATAAAAAAGACCTCCAGAGAAAGATAAGCTGTGTATGTGTGTGGGAGAGGTGGAGTGCAGAAGGTAGGATGAGGAGGGGCTAGAATAAAAGAGGGAAGTCAGGTAAAGAGCAAATGAAATGCAAACAAACGGCATGAATGATAGTCTGAAGGTGAAAGGGACAATTAGCATGAGGCACAGAGAGAGAAAACAGGAAAACGGGCACTGATTAGGACTGTGTCATTGTGCCAGCCTCGCTGGGACGTAGAGTGGACAAGACCTACCTGTGTTTGAGTTGATCTGGAATTTCCCCTGGTCGTTCCCATTCACGATTCCGTATTTGATCTCCGTGCTCTCAGCGCCATCCCTGGTCAGCGTGGACAGGTCGAGCACCTCAGTGCCCACGGCCACGTCTTCCGCTACCGTGGCCACATATTCAGTGCTCAGGAAAACCGGCAGGTATTCAGTCAGATCCACCACAGAGACCGTGACGGTGCTGAGAGCAGAGAGGGGGTGCGGGGAACCCCGGTCTGTTGCACAAACCGTCAGCTCAAATGCTAGAATCGGAGTGTCCTTTAAGGGTTTCTCGAGCCGGATCACCCCAGTAGCTTCCTCGATTGAAAAGAATCCATTGGCTGAGTCAGTGAGAGAATAAATCACCTCTGCATTGCAGCCTGGAAGGATAACGGGGCTGGATTAACCATGAGGCAAGACCGACATAGGCTCCTGTTTTAGAATCAGCAGAACTCAGCGTAGCCAAATGAAACGTAACCAAACAGAGACTAAGTCTTCTGGTTGCCTTTCAGTCTCAGTTCAAATGCGCACCCATTCAATACAGATCCGACCTTTTATCCATCCCTGCAGCCATCCAACAGAGATTTGTCGCAAATCCGCTGTTGCTCCCAATTTTCTTGAATTCATTATTTTACTTCCACCCTCACCCAAAAGCAGATTGCACGGACTCACTTATGTACCATGGGGCTTTACCCATGAAAGCTCATGACCTAATAAATTTAAGGTGTCTCAGTCTGTAACTTTACAAATAATAAGCAGTCCTAACGTGGTTACCTCTCTGAAACTCTAGGAAGAAGCTCTTCCAGGAGTCTTATTCAGGCAACCCGGAGTCACAAGAAAAATACAAGCAACTTCACAAGGACCATTTTCATCTCCCTTCCATCACCCTGTCTTCCTCCTGCTCCATTTATAAGCCTTCATCACTACGGCCATTGGCTCCCATTCTCCATCAGTGGTGATATTTGCATCACGCATCGGCTAGCCCAATAAGAAAGAGACCAGGCGAGACTGGAATTTCAGACCCTTTAGTTTCAGTCTTTTGCTCGGTCATGCACAATGCTGCGTCTAAGCTACTCAGATACCCTCAGCTGATACCTTCTGAAATGTCCATGGGTATCGTGTTGCCTGCAGGGTCATCCAGGTCTTCCAGAACACGTAAGTATTGAGCAGATGGGCTTAAAGGTTCCGATGCCTTTGCACCGAGCTACAGCCGTTTATACCCTGGGCTGCATTCCTTCTCTATATTTGGAGCATTTCTATCCATGATGTAAAAGGACTCAGGCTAGAAATCCCGTTTGGACTCACCTTCGTCGAGATCCCTGGCTGAGACCACTGCAATGGGTGTCTTCACGGTGGTGTTATCGAAGACAGCAACCGCACAATGACTGGGAAAGAACCGTGGAGCATTGTCGTTCGCATCCTCTATGACTAGGGTTATATCTGCCTGGCAGGAGCGGCCTCCGCCATCTGTTGCCTTGGCGACAAGATGGTACGTCGGTTTCTGCTCCCGGTCTAGAGGTGCAGAGGCCGTCAGCTCCCCTAGTGAAATAAGGAGAGACTGTCACTGTGGCAATCAGAGATTTTTGTTAACGAGGGCTACGCCACACACAACGATAATTCACCAGCTGCAGAGACAGCAGATTTGGGGTCAAAAACTAGCAGCGGCCCAATGAGTAGTGGGAGAATGTCCATGTCTCAGGTAGTCCGACATCTTGGTCAGCCTTTGTAGAGGAGTGGCCGGGAACCGGCCGAACACTAGGCAAGGAAAGTTTGCACAGGACGTATTTGTGCTGCAATAAATTGCACTTCGATAGCGGGATCTCAGACAGCTTAGCAAACACTGAGTTTAACATCCTGGGAATGAATTACCCCTGGCAGGTAGATAAGTATTATCTCCCTCTTTCCGAGATGGGGGAACCAACACAGGGAGATGAAATTTTGCCTAAGGTCAAGCAGAAAGACCTTGCTAGATCTTAGAATGGAATACAGGTCTCTTGACTTCGCCCTGCCTCCTAAGATCTACTTTCTCCTCTTATGCCCTGCGGTAGACAGTAATACCTGGCCGCCTACTTCCACAATATAAAAACCCACCAGGGCAAATCAAACATTTTAAAGGAAGCTAGTGGAGCGGGCACTTTGCTAAATGCACACAGAATCGGTATTGTAAAGAAACTGCAATAAACGAGGGAGGTTCCCTGTTGCCCTCCCTGCTACCTTGACAGAGCTGAAGTGAAAAGCTTCTCTGTTTATTCAGCATGAGATAAGGGACAGGCAGCCCCCAGGAGCCTCCTCCGCAACTGCAAACTGATGGACAGAAGAGATCATAAACCTGCAGTTCTCTGCAAACTGCCACATGGTTGGTGCAGGCCTTACCTGTGTGTGGGTCCAGTCTGAACTCCTCAGCCCCAGGACCATGGAGGCTGTACGTTATCTGCGCATTGCTGCCAACATCAGGGTCGGTGGCTGATACTTTCAAAATGAAAACCCCGGGGAGCGCAGCTTCAGAGACGTTCCCGGTGTAGAGAATCTGGAAAGGAGAGATGTTTCCACCGTCAGTGGGGCGGGGCTGGGTGCAGGACGTGCGTGCTCATGCCTCCATAACAAAAGCTTACTGCTACATGTGGGGATTTTGCACCGCGGAGGGGGGCGCTGCGAAGAAGGCTGCATTGTCCAGGCTCCGCTGGCTTTTCTCCCAGCTCTTCTCCGAGCAGATGGGAATGCGGGAGCCATGGCTGTGGTGATGCTAATAGGCAAGGGGCAGATGACCATTTTGCAGGGCCCCGGGCAGCATAATTCTGTGGGGCCCCCTCTTTGCCACGGCGCATGCGCGGGGCTTTTTGAAGCACGGGGCCCAGGGCGGCCGCCCCGTTCGCCCTGCCCTATATCCACCCCTGCTAACAGGTTATTGCTGTCTCTCTGGGCCTTTAGCAGAATTTTCTGAGGCATTAGGCTACTGGGATTGCCGGTGCATTGGGCTGTGCAGCTTCAAGCAGCCCCCTTCAGATGCCATAGCAGCTTCCATTTGATACAAAGGAAATGTTTTGTGTGTGTGTGTGAAATGTTGTGTGTGTGTGTGTGTGAAATGTTTTCTGTGTGTGTGTGTGTGTGTGTGTGAAGTGTGTGTGTGTGTGTGTGTGTGGAGTGTGTGTGTGTGTGTGTGTGTGTGTGTGGTGTGTGGAGAGAGAGAGAGAGAGAGAGTCACAAATCTCAATAAATCATAATTGCTCTGGTCATTTATAGAAGTGTTGGACCTGTCCCTGCCCAGGCATCCAAGGACACAGCATCTTCCTGTTTGCTTTGTACCAGGGTAGACCTAGGAATTTCAATCCAGGACGAGGGCCATCCTGTGTTAGGTGCTGCAGAGACTAGTTAGAAAGATAGAGCAAGTAAGACAGTCTTGGCTTTGGTGAGCTCCCGATCTAAGTGTGAAAGAAGATGAGACAGAGTGGGAGGGGGTGCAGTTCAGAGTGGGGGCCCTGGCAGAGCTGAGGGGGAGGTGGGTAGGGCTGGGACAGAGGGGCTGGCTGTTTTGGCGGTTTGTGTGTGTGTGTGTGTGTGTGGTTTTTTGTGTGTGTGTGTGTGTGTGGTTGTGTGTGTGTGAAGTGTGTGTGAAGTGTGTGTGTGTGTGTGAAGTGTGTGTGAAGTGTGTGTGTGTGAAATGTTTTGTGTGTGTTTGTGTGTGTGTGAGAGAGAGAGACAATGCTGATAACCAGTGTTAGGAGGATAGGGTTAGGGACTCAATCTACCATTCACGGGACCGTGTGCCTCCATGTGTGCTTGGATGCATGGCTTCACCTTTGGCGGGAGAGGATAATTCAAGGTCTGTTTCTTGGTCTTTTTGAGGAGAGTACCCCAGGTTGCTAGTTAGCATGGGTGTCTTTTGTGAGGAGGAAACCTGTCCATCAGCAACTGGGTGGAGGTTGGCAAATGTATTTCATATCTCTTCAGCATCGCTTGGAGATTAACAACTTTTGGTCATTACCAGTATAGGTCACCCAATGAAATGAATAGGTAGCAGGTTTAAAACAAACAAAAGGAAGCATTTTGTCACATAACACACAGTTGACCTGTGGAACTCCTTGCCAGAGGATGTTGGGAAGGCCAAGACTATAACAGGGTCCAAAAAAGAGCTAGATAAATTCATGGAGGATAGATCCATCAATGGCTATTAGCCAGGATGGGTAGGGATGGTGTCCCTGGCTTCTGTTTGGCAGAGGCTGGAAATGGGCTGACATCACCGCTGCGTCCGTTGCCTTCCCCCTGCTCCTTACCTGCTTGCATTCAGGGCTGTTGTCATTGATATCGAGGACGAAAATCTCCACTTCCGTGACAGCTTGAAATTTCCCGTCGGACGCCGTGACCCTGAGGAGATATTTCTCTGTCTCTTCCCTGTCGAGAGGCTTCTTGGAAACGATTCTCCACTCGTCCTCTGCCTGTTTCACACTGAACTGCCCTAGCATGTCCCCTTCTGGAAAGGCGTAGAAGGCAGTGAGAGGAAACACAGTGAGCCCTGAAAGCGTGAAGGGCTAGGGGCTGGGGAGAGGGTGCTCCAGGTGGGGGTGTATACCCCCCCCCGAATTTCCCCAACATCCCCCCAGTTTTGTGAACTATAGTGCCATATAGCTCACCTTCACCCTCACGGTCTCACCCCTTATCGGCCTGACACCCTCGACTGTAAATTCGAACACCCCCCCAGTTTCAATTCCTGGGGAGGCTGCTGGGGTACTTCTCTCCTGTACCATCTCACCCTCTCCATGCAACCTGCATATGAGAGCTGCAGCACTTGCAGGCGTTAGAAGCAGCAGTGAGGAGAAACCGGCCGGCATGTCCCGTTGGTCCAACTCCGGCCTTTGACTCCTCCCCAGTGCATTTTATCCCCCAGGAAATGCCTCTTCTATCTCAGTCAATGGGCTTCCATATTACTTGTGTTACTTAGGGGGAGAACAAGTTGTTTTCAAAAGGTCCCGACAACTTTGAAAGGTTCCAGTGACATATCTATGAACGAGTATAAAAGCCCATGGTGTATCCCATTTCCTTACATCCGTCTGTCTCTCTCTCTCTCTCTCTCTCCTCCAAACACAATAGGTTATAAAGAGATCCGGAACCTACACAGACACTGAAATGTAAACACTGACTCTTCATTATTGCAGGGCAAGACAAGGTTTGGCTTTTTTAAAGGCACTGTTGCAATGGATCTCCTTTAGCACCTTGTAATTATGTAATACGGGACACTTGAGGCAGTTACATAAACGCTAGCGGGCCAGATTCTCCAGTCTGCCAAGTTCACTTTGTGCTGCTGCTAACAGGACAGAAAACGAACGTGAAAATGGCCAGAAATACGCCCAGGGGGGCAGAACTAGGTGAACAGCAGGATGAACCCAGCACGTGAGGGAAATCTCTTCAAACCACTAGTTCTAGCACCTGTCCCAGAGGAGAATTCTTTGCTCCTGGAGAATTTGCCCATAGTGTGGGAATTTCCCGTGGCAAAGAGCTGATGGCCTGTACTGGAACTGTCAGTATAAGCAAAGGAGACGATGAATTGGGCGACGGGAGGGAAGTACCACTGGAACGCCAGCAGGCGGAACTGAACCAGGGACTCTGGGAGCTTAGCACATGAGCCTCTCCTGCATGCATTAAAATCCAGCTGGCTCTCGGTGAAGGCTGTAGAGCCAGGGGCGGCCCGAGGCGAGCTGCTGGCATCTGGCATCCCAGGTGGAATGCGTGATCAGCACCCCCGCCTCCACAGCCCTCAATGGCGTGACGCCATCATTGGGCGCCCCGTTTAACACGGCGCCCTACGCGATGGCTGAGTCGGCCTATACGCACGGGCCACCCCTATGTAAGAACAGACTCATTTCTCTCTCTGTAAGTGGTCTCAGTGCCATTAACTGGGCCAGTGCACCACGCCCACCAGGTGTCTGGGTTGCACACTTATTCCCGGTTTCCTAGTTACGTTAGGTCTATGAAGGTCCATATGCCAATGGCGTAAGTTAGAGTTACCTCCTTGCACATTTACACTGGGGCTGGGTGACTGAGAATCAGGGAGCCACAGCTGGTCTCTCCACTGCACTCCAGGGGACTCAAGTCCTAGCATTTTCATTTTTAACCTGCTCTGTGTTTTAAAACACCAAGCGACAAGTCAGTAGCCAAATCGGCCTCCACAGCTGTCACTGTGCCACAGAGACCTTCGTGGCAGCAGTGGGAATAGAGTTCAGATCCTCCTGCTACACAAACCGCAGGCCTTGCAATGTGAGACTCACCATCAGCTCCGGCAGTACAGAGCCTTGTGTTTTGGAACAGGAGTTCTATTGCCACTGATCCAAAGAAGTTCTATGTGGCTTTGGTGTACAGAAAAGTGACCCCCCCCCCCCCCCCCCAAAGACCTAGCGTGGCCCAGATATTTATAAGGAACTCCTTCTATAGTTTATTTCAAAATAGCATGTCCTGTATGTCACGATACAGTCGATCAGTACTCGATGGGCATCAGCTTACAATCTGCCTCCTCTTGACACCACTCTTTTTTTCTGAGGCACAGGGAGAGGGGGAGAGAGGGCACCAGGGAACTTCACCTAAAATAATTATCTAAATGGTTTCTCTTTGATGAACCCTAAAAAAGAAGCACTGCTTGATCGCCTTCTGTGTTCTTTTGCTACAGTTTGTAGGGCTTGGGGCCATGTGTTTATTGTTTAGAATTTTAACTACTTATGGGTTAAAACGCAGAAAACATAAATAAAGCCCAAACAACATCAAAGTGCATTTTCCAGGGCCTAAAGTAATCTGAAACCAGATCTTAAAAGAAGCCAGAAATGTTCAAACAAAAACAGTCTAGCACACTCAGCCAGATGAGTTAAAAATAATCAGGTATTCACAAAACGGGCTAAGAAGAGATTGAAAGCACAGACATTCTCCTTCTGGTTTAAAAGATTGTAACAGATCTCAGGTTACAACGTGATCTGGCTAAATGCTTTCCTCCTGAAGAGTCTCAGAGGGGTCTCCGTGTTAATCTGTATCTGCAAAACCAACGAGGAGTCCTGTGGCACAGATTTATTAGGGCGTAAGCTTTTGTGGGTAAAACCCACTTCGTCAGATGAATGTGATGAAGTGGGTTTTACACACCAATCATAGAACCATAGAGCTGGAAGAGATCTCAGAAGGTCATCAAGTCCAGCCCCCTGCTCTAGGCAGGACCAATCCCAACTAAATCAACCATAGTTTATGCCATAATAAATCTATTAGTCTCTAACGGTATGTCTACATTGCAGGCTCACGTTGAGTTAAGCTACGTTAATTGTGTAGCAGAAGTCTAAGTAGCTTAACTCGGCTTAAGGCGCTGTCTACACTAAGGACGTGAACGACTAGTCAACTACCCGATAAACAAATGTGTATTGGATAGTTGTTACATTAGTCGACTAGTCGCTTTCTCCCACTTGCTGCTTCTCTCTGAAAGCCTGGGGCCAGATCCTGGGCTACACATAGAACTGCTGCTTTGAAATACTGTGTGCAGCCCAGGTCCCAGGCTGCATGCGGCGTTTCAAAGCGGCAGTGCCATGTGGAACCCGGGGTTGACACTGTCACTTTGAAATGCCGTGGGGAGCACGGGGACAGTGGGGAAATGCTTGAGCCTCCTACTGGCCCTGTGCTCCCCTTAGGGCTTTCACCTTTGAAGTGTAGGAACAGCCCTGGGAGGCGCCCGTATCGACTAATTGAATAGTCGATGCAAAATACATTGACTATTTGATTAGACAATTAATCAACATTTAACATCCCTAGTCTACACAGTTAGAAGTCGAAGGAAGAACTCTCTTCTTTAGACTCCCTTACTACTCGTGAAATGAGGGTCACAGAAGTTGGAATAAGAAGCCCATTATTTTGAAATTACAGGCAGTCCCCGGGTTACGTACAAGATAGGGACTATAGGTTTGTTCTTAAGTTGAATTTGTATGTAAGTCGGAACTGGCTCCAGATTCAGCTGCTGCCACTGAAACTGACCAGGGGCTGACTACAGGAAGCAGGAGGCAGAGTTGCTCTGCCCCCAGCTTCCTGGAATCAGCCTGATCAGTTTCAACAGCTGCTGAATCTGGAGCCTGGGACAGAACAGCTGGGGCGCTGCCCGGTAGGTTCCCACAGGACCAACCCGGCAGCACCCCAGCTGCTCTACCCGAGGCGTCCCGCAACAAAAGCCTGGTCTGCTGGGGGGGGGGGCGCACTAGCTGTGCCCCCTCCCCCCCAGCAGATCAGGGAGACCCAAGCAAAGCCGCACAGGCGGAGGGACCCCGCTGCCCCCCGGTCTGCCCCCAGGGATGCCGCCTGTGCAGCTTTGCTCCTGTCCCCCTGGTCTGCTGGGGGGGTCCAGCAAAGCCTCTGGACCCCCCCAGCAGACCAGGGACACCCGAGCAAAGCCGCCGCCTGGGCGGCTTTGCTCGTTTGCCCGGGAGCAAAGCCGCCCAAGCAGTGGGACCCCCGCCAAAGCCACTGGACCCTCCAGCAAAGCCACTGGACTCCCCCAGCATACCAGGGGGACAGGAACAAAGCCGCTCAGGCAGCGGGGATCCCACTGCCTGGGCCCCTTTGCTCCCGGGCAAACGAGCAAAGCCGCCCAGGCGGCGGCTTTGCTCGGGTGTCCCTGGTCTGCTGGGGGGGTCCAGCAGCTTTGCTGGACCCCCCCAGCAGACCAGGGAGACCGGGAGAAGCTTTTCTCGCCCCGGAGGACACGGGCGGCAACCTGCCGCCCGTGAGCTCTGGGGCGAGAAACGCCCCGTTCGTAAGTGCGGATCCGACATAAGTCGGATCCGCGTAAGTCGGGGACTGCCTGTATTTCAAAATAACAGGCTTGCTGTGTAGACCCGCACTCTGTTATTTTGAAATGATGCGAGTTACTTCGAAATAAGCGTGCAGTGTAGACATAGCCTAAGGTGCTACATTGTTTTGTCCCTGAAAGGTCTTCGTCTGAGCTAGGACAAGCATTTTAATTTTAAGCATTTGTTTCACTTAAAGCATGCAACAAAATCATTATCAAAATAAAGTATGGACGTTTCAGTTTTTAATCCTCTTTGGACTTTTTTTTAAGGCTTTGGTTAATTTTGATTGGCCTGACTCCCATTCTGGATATGCAATAACCTCCTTATTGTTTCTCAGTAGTGGGAAACATACTGTGTTTGAAACTATAATGTTGTTAATTATTTGATACAGAGAATGGGCTAACTACAGCACTGGGTAAAAGTGTGTAATTACAGACATACAAGCACTAATTCTCAGAATTGCAGAGTGCTCCTAGATCTCATTGATTTTACCTGGAACATGTTCAGTACCAGAAAATCAAGCACATACTCTGTGGCTTTGTCTACACTATGAACTTTTTGCAGAAGAGGCGATGCGAATGAAGCGCTTATTAGCATTTTCAGTCTCTTCTGATCCTTTTTGTGCAAGAGGTTTTTGCACAAAAACAAGCAGTGTGGATGTGTCCGTTTTGTGCAAAACCCCTATTTTAGAGTCATACGGATCTTGTGCAAAAAGGGTTTTTTGTGCAAAACGGATACGTCCACACTGCTTGTTTTTGTGCAAAAACCTCTTGCGCAAAAAGATCGGAGGACACTATGAAAATGAAGCACGAGAAAATGCTAATGAGCGCTTCATTCGCATTGCCTCTTCTGTAAAAAAACATAGTGTACATAGAATCATAGATCTGGAAGAGACCTTAGGAGGTCATCAAGTCCAACCCCCTGCCCAAGGCAGGACCAGTCCCAACTGTGTGTGTGTCTTGTGTGTCTATACATATACATTGACAGTATGTGTATATATGTAGATGTGTGTGTTGGTGAGATTGGATTATAAGAGGAAAGCTGGATTAAAGAAATTAAATACAAATCACAGTCTCTATGAGAAATGCAGTATTATGACTCACTCTGAGATCTGGAACACCCCTGTTTGAAGGCACTTGATACAGCACACGCAGTGGAATTGTGGGCTGCAGAATAAAGGTAGCAGAATCTGGCCCTAAGATTATATTCTAATTATTCTTGCCAGCTCATGATTTAAATTTAGGAGCAACTCACCAGTGATGTAACATGTGACCCGTCTGTTCTGCTCGGAGAGATCCGCGTCTGTGGTTCTGAACGTGGCGATGATCTGACCAGGCTCGGCGTTCTCAGTCACCGAACCTTTGTAGACCTCTGAGGTGAACTGGGGGGCATTATCGTTTTCGTCGGAGACGGTGACCTCCACCAAAGTGTGAGAAGATAACTGGACTTTCCGGCCGTGGTCTGTGGCTACCACATAAAAACGGTAAGTCTCCTGGGCTTCACAATCCAGCTCCTTCAGTGTCGTGATCCACCCCGTCTCACCATCGATGGTGAAGAGTCCTCTGATGTTGCCGGGTTCAGCTTCCAAGCTGTAGGTCACCTGCCCATCGCTCCCTGTGTCCTGGTCATTAGCGGTAACTTGAATTACTGTAGTTCCCGATGGCATGTTCTCCGTGACAAAAGCCCGGTAGGGATCCGCCTCAAACACTGGTTTGTTATCGTTGACATCTTTCACTTGGATACTTACTGAGACCAACGAGACCAGCTCAGTCTCCTGGTGTGAGCAGTGAGCCATGACGTCAATCTGGTACCACTTGGTCTTCTCGTGATCCACGGCCTTATTGACTTTCAAAGTGCCCGTTTGTTTGTCCAGCGTGAATACCTCTTCCTTATTGCTTTCCGCCGTGGTTCCCTTCACCAGGCTGTATATGATGGGCTCCTCTGACACAGCTTTCACGGATCCTATTTCTGATCCTTCTGGAAGGTCCTCAGATGCTGAGAATGTGTACAGTGGCTCAGAAAATCTGGGCAAGGACACCTCTCTGGGGACAATCTGAAGACTGACGGGGACACGAGAGTTCCAGTGAGGTGGTCTGCTGTCTTCAGCTTTGACTTTGAAGTTAAAGGCTCTATTTTCTAACCCAATGAGGCTCTCTTTGACTTTAACCACCCCAGAGGCAGCGTTGATCTCTACGATGTCTTCCGCAATGCTGTCCACCGAATCGACTGAATAGGTGACGTCTGCATTCACACCTTCATCAGCATCGTAGGCCAGGACCTGAATGACTGGGGAGCCTTTGCTGACATTGGACTGGATAGATAAGGTGTATTCGGATGCTTTGAACTGAGGCGGGTTGTCATTCTCGTCTGTAAGAATGATCTTGACCATGCAGAAAGCCACCTTCCCGCCCCCATCCTTGGCCATAACTTTGATAGCAATGACCCTCTCGGTGGAATTTTCCCGATCCAGCTTCTGGAGTGTGGCAATGTGGCCTTTGTGATCTATGGTGAACTTCTCATGGGCGAGTTTGTTGATGATAGTATAATCGATGGTGCCATATGGGCCATCATCTGGGTCAATAGCCACAAGCTCAATCACCTTGGTTCCTACCTCAGCATTTTCAGCCAGCTCCGCTTCATATACATTCTGCCAAAAAGATGGGCTGTATTTATTGGTATTGGTGGTATTGATGAACACGGGCACAGTGGTCTTGAAAACCCCATCTGAAGCAGAGACTCTAAGGTTGTAAGATGACTCCAGGTCCTTTCGACACCGGTTGAGCATGGAAATTACTCCAGATGTGCTGTTGATGATGAAATGTCTTTTGTCATTGCCCGAGAGGATCACATACTCCAGTCTTGTGGTATCTCCGCTGTCGGGGTCCAGGGCCTGGACCTTTACCACAGTATGGCCACAGGTGGCCATTTCACTCACCTTGGCTTCATATTGTGCTTGGCTGAATTCAGGGGGGTTGTCGTTTACGTCTGCCACATTGATGACCACCAAGGCTTCGCTGCTCAGGGGGGGCACGCCGTGATCTGTAGCTCTTATTTTCATGTGAAACTGATGGTTTGTTTCATGATCGAGCACTTGGGCTGTTGCTATTTCTCCCGTATTAGGGTCAATATTAAAGAACTTGGTAGCATCTGAATTGTCGTCCAAGATCCGGTAGGAAATTACTTTGTTTCGTCCTGAATCCTTATCAGAAGCAAAGAGCTGGACAACGGAGGTCTGAGTGGGCAAGCCTTCTGTGACAGATGCAATGTAAAGCGTCTGAGAAAATACAGGTGGGTTATCATTAATATCCTCCACTTCCACTTCCACCTGGGCTTCCGAGAAGGACCCCAACACTGTGTCCGTGGCTCTCACCGTAAAGGTATGTTTTGTTTCTGATTCATAGTCCAGCTGGCCAGTGACAGTAAGGACACCGGTCTTGAAGTCGGTGTTGAACAGTTTAAGGGGCTCTTCCTCCATGATGTTGTAGATGAGGCGTAATCCTTCAGGACTACGAGCTTGTGTGTGGAGAATAGGCGTGTAGAGGGGAATGTTTTCTGGCACTTTCACGGTATAGTAAAGACTTTGGAACAAAGGGTTGGATTTGTTCCTCACGGTGATTAAAACCTCTTCTTCGGCTTGCAAGGGTGGCTCGCCGCCATCTCTCGCGATAACTTTAAGCGTGTATTTATTTAAAGCCTGATAATCAAGGGGTTTCTTGAGCGAGATGTCCCCCAGGTAGGGGTCAATCCAGAAGTACTCATAGAACTCTGCTAATGAGTAAGTAATGGCTCCGTTATCTCCTATGTCCCTGTCAGTGGCAAATACCTGGAAAAGGACATCGCCTGGTTCCATACCCTCTTGAACTGAGGTATAATACGGCACATTCTCAAACTGTGGTGGATTGTCATTGGTATCCTCCACGTAAACCTGGACTGTCGCCTGAGACACCCTTGGTGGGTTGCTAGTGTCCTTCACTTCCACAGCAACCTCGTACGTGTCCTGTGTTTCACGGTCAAACTCCACACAGTTGGTCTGCAGCACTCCTGAAGCTGGGATCAAGTTGAACCTCTCCTTGCCGTTTAAGAGGGAATAAAAAAGAGGCTCGTTTAGCTGATTTCCACAGACTCCAAGCACAATCAGAGTCTGCTGATCTGTAGTGTTCTCCTGCACTGTTGCTGTGTACAAGTCCTGATCGAACGTTAAGGCGGTAACCTGTGGTTCAGTGAAATTTACCCTGACCAGAGCAGTACTTTTATACAAGCCATCGCTAGCTCTGACTGTGAGCTCACGATAATTTCCCAGGAGCGTAGCATTAACCACCGAGATGAGACCTGTGAGTGGGTGAATGAAGAAAGCCTGGTCCAGATTGCCTTCTGCTAGGCTGTACGTCACCTCCGAATCTGCATCTTCCGCACGCACTGCCAAAAGCTCCATTCCAGGATGGGCAGGCAGCGAGACCGAAAGTTTGTACACGTCTTTTAAAAAAACCGGAGGCGCGTCATTCACATCTTGGACGTGGATGATGACCGTAGCAGGTGTGGATGCAAATAAACAGGGATTGCCCCTGTCCTGGACACGTATGCTGAAGTGGAAAACCGGGATGAGTTCATAATCGAGATCGGTGCGAGCGGTAAGCGTTCCCATGCTCGGATCTATAGTGAAATATTTCAGTGCTTCCGGTTCCAAAATTTCATAGACCAGCAAGGCATTGGAATCTTGGTCAGCATCCGTTGCTTGTGTGACCAGCGGAGCGTTGTTTTCATCCATAACCATGCTTTGAGGTGGGGCGTTCTCACTGATCCAGCCAACGAAGGAAGGCTTCACAAAAGCAGGCGCATTGTCGTTCTCGTCTATGACGTAGATAAACACGGCCACATCCGTAAATGCTCCTCTCATGTTGGTGCCTCGGACTTTCAGCTGATAAGACGAGACTTGCTCAAAATCTAAGTTCTTCTGAGTGGAGATAAGGCCTGATTGATAGTTCATGGAGAACACGCCACCCTCATTTCCTTCTTTTATGTCATAGCTGACTGGGGACATGCTTGTGGCTGAAACCAGGAGAAGAGGTGAGCCAGGTGCAGTAGATTCACTGATCTCCGCAATGTATTCCGCCTCTGAGAATTTAGGAGGAGTGCGGTCAGAGGGTTTAATGTGAACGTGGACAGTTGTGGAGTCCGTAAGTGGGGGGAACCCTTGATCTTCTGCCTTGACAACAAGCGTTAACCGCTCTGCCTTGAACCGGTCCAGTTTCTGGGAAACTGTAATAATTCCAGAGATGGAGTCAATGCTGAAGAACCCCTCACTGTCACCTGAAATAAAGGAAATGGCAAAATTAAGAGATGGCTATGCTCTTTGGCTGTGTTCTCTTGGGCTACGTCTATACTGCAACGCTATTTCGGGATACCGGAGTGTCCCAAAAGAGCTAGCATCTTCACAGCAAGCCTGTTATTTCGAAATATCACAGGCTTTCTATACCAACATCCCTGTGAACCTCATTCCATGAGGCATCAGGGATGCTTCGGAATGGCGCCTTATTTCTAAATTTGGTGCTGTGTAGACAGCGCCAAATTACAAAATAAGCTATTTCGAATTAAGATCGAAATAAGATACACAATTTGCGTAGCTCAAACTGTATATCTCATTTCAAGCTAACGTTCAGTGTAAACGCACCCTCAGAGTGTTTCCAGAGTCATTCCTGGTCTCATCTCAGATGACTTGTGCTAACTATTGTCAGCTTCTTTCATTGGGAAATGACAATCTATATGAATGTTTAAGCTGGTCTAGAGGCACTGGAACAATTTGTACAGCAGAGGAGCGGAACTAAACTATAAACCTATGTCAAACTGGAAGTGCGGCAGCTCCCCCAGACACCCCTACTTTCAGCACCTATGGTCTGCCCTTACTCTAAACATAATGATCCTGCTGTAAACGTTGGGCAAATGTGTAAATAAAGGATAAGGGTTATTAGAAAAATTATTCTTTAAGTTGAGTGAATTTAATGCTGGTTGAACAATGCACTTTAAGTTTTCTATTCATATATTGAATAGATACAATGTGTGCTGTGCCATGTCCCCCTCCTCCCCCATCCTGCCTTTACTGTTATTAATACAATACGTGGATTTCAGTAGAATGGCAGTCATGGCCCAGGATCCTAACCACAGAATATTAGAACTGGAAGAGACCAAGAGAGATCATCAAATCCAGTCACGTGCCCTCACGGCAGGACCAAGCACCGTCTAGATCATCCCTGATAGATGTGTGTCTAACCTGCTCTTACATATCTCCACTGATGGAGATGCCACAACCTCCCTAGGCACTTTATTCCAGCGTTTAACCACCCTGACAGGTAGGAAGTTTTTCCTAATGTCCAACCTAAACCTCCCTTGCTGCAGTTTAAGCCCATTGCTGCTTGTTCTATCCTCAGAGGCCAAGATGAACATTTTCTCCCTCCTCATGCACACTTTTTGATACCTAAAAACGGCTATCATGTCCTCCCTCAATCTTCTCTTTTCTAAACTAAACAAACCCAAAACTGCTCTCATGTCCCCTCTCAGTCTATTCATTCCCTCTGGGGCATCTGGCATTGGCCCCTGTCACTAGAGAGGACACTGGGCTAGATGGACCTTTGGTCTGACCCAGTCTGGCCGCTCTTATGTTCTTATGAGGATACTTTCTGCATGGGGTGAGGCTGAGGCTGTGCACATCAGGAGAGAGAAACAGGCCCGTCCCCACAAGAGGGGATGCAAAAGCTGCTTCCCAACGAAAGAAGCTCAGCACAGATCCTGCTGCCTCGTTCCCAGCGCTGCAGATCACCAGAGCTCAGCAGCTGTAGCACTGAGGGGACTCAGAAAACAGGTCCAGCCGCTGAATGGCATATCCCACTAACTGGACGAGAGTGGCCCAGCGGCTGGATCTTTGTGGCAGGCAGGTTCTTAGCTAACTCTGCCCTGCCTCGTGTCTCTCACCTGCCTGAAGAGAGTAGCGGATTTCAGCGTTCACCCCTTGGTCCTGGTCCAGGGCTCGGACTTGAACCACCTCGGTGCCTACGGTCGCCGAGTCGAGGGCCTCTGCTTCATAGTGGTGGCGGGTGAACCGGGGAGGGTGAACGTTACAGTTCTCCACGTGGATGACAACCCTGGCAAAGTTCCGCTTGATGGGCACTTCCTGGTCCCGCACCTGAGGGGCAGAGAGGAAGAGCAGGTTACCGGGGTTACCGAGGGAAATCACTGGGCAAAGCCAAAACACAGGCCTCTACCAGTTGAGTTGAAGGAGTCACTTTGTTAGCTGGCAGCAGCAACAGGCCGCAGTGAAAAACGTGTCATGGACCACAAAATAAGCCCTTCCCTGTAAAATTGGCTGCCTCCTTGTTCCTAGAGGTGCCCCCTCAAAGGGGGTTTCCTACCTCCAACTGGATAGGGAAAGGACAGGACCTGTCCCTCCCTTGCAAACTGCTCTGGCGGTGGGAGGAGAAACCAGGGTGGCTCGGGACTGGGAAGCATCCTGAGCTTCCTGCAGCTGGAGGAGGCTTGTGGAGTTGTGTCCAGTCTTCCCTGTGCTGCTGGGAGGGCCCCATCAAAGGGGGCTTCCTACCTTTGACTAAGCAGGGGAAGGACAGGACCAACCCTAACTGTCCCCTGAAAACTGCTCTGGCAGGGGAGGTGATGACCTGGCCAAACCCACCTTTACCTCTTGGAGATTCCTGCAGCTGCAGGGAGCTGTCCGGTTGCTGCCTTCAGAGGCCCAGCTCTGCAAGCGGCACAGAGGTGAGGGTAACAATCCCATGGCCCCCCTACAACAGGTTTGTGACCCCCCCTCCCATCTCCTTTTGGGTGGGGACCCCACGGTTACACCACCATGAAATGTCAGGTTTAAACAGCTGACAATGTGAATTGACCAGTTTTCAAATCCTATGGCTGTGAAATTGGCCATCAAGAACAGTGAATTTGGTAGGGCCCTACCTGTGAGGACAAGCCATCAACATGCCTATGGGGTGCGCTACAAGGTGAAAGCGAAAAGTCTTTCCCTCCCCTCTAAAACTGTTGGCCCCGGTTGGAATGTCTCAAGGCACCCCACCTAATTCCCCATCGCCCGTTCTAGCTCAGCAGGCTGGGGCCCTGGCTCTCTCATACCATCACGGTTAAGATGTGCCGCAGCATGGATTGAGTACTGAGCCCTTCTGCCGTCCGGAGGGCTCCACTGCTTGGCTCCAGCTGGAAGAGCCGGGTGCTTCTGGGGTCCACGCTGCCATGGAGGGTGTAGATCAAACCCTTCCCTTTGTCCTCGTCTGTGGCGCTGACCCGAAGGAATTCTGTCCCGGGGGGCGTGTCCTCGGGAATTGTCACCTCATAATGGCTGTCCAGGAACTGGGGGCGGTGCTCGTTAATGTCAATCACATGGATGTAGGCCTGTGGGGGAGACAGTGTATTATGCAGTGGAATCCCATTGGGGTGGAGGGGAATTCTATTTACGAGTCGCAGGGTTGCAGGAAAAATGAAAAACACAGCGTGAGCAGCAAATATTGGTTTGTGTGCTACAGTTAGGAGCAAAAAAATGAGTAAAGGATCTTTCAAAAAAATGGTTTTTTTTGTTTTGTTTTGTTTTTTTCAGAGAACCCCACCTAGATGGCGATTTTACTTACAAAAAGCCCTTTTTCGAAAGAACGCGCGGCCACCATTATGCAAATGAAGCACGGGAAATTTAAATCCCGGCTTCATTTGCAATTTCGATCTGTCTAATTTACATCCCTCTTTCAAAAGAGGGATGTAGTCTGGACATGCCCTTAGGTGTGTCACACTCGTGCCTCAGTTTCCTGAATGCCACACCTTGAAATCCGTTTGCACAGACAGGCAGCAGCCCTGTGGAGCTGCAGGGGCTGTCCAAGAAGCTGTCCTCTGTGCTCTTTTCACTGAGACTCTATCTTGGCTGGCGCTTGTTTTGGTTGGTTGGTCTCACTCTAAAAAGCCATTTAGCCTGAACATTGGTCTGCTGTTGGCGCATAGGGCTGGCCCTGAAAACACTCATGCAGCCGCTGGTTTGGGGCCTTTCTGGCGGATGTCCTGCTGCTTCTCATTGCGTTCACACAGAGAAATGGAGGGAGCACAAAGAATGAATGGGAGGAGCGCGTCCATTTCAGGAGCAGCATGAAAATAGGGTGGCAAAAGCAAGTATTGGAGCTTACGCTTACTAAAAAAGACAATAACCTCCTTGCACACTGCAAACCTTATTTTGGCTAGGGAGATTGGCCGGTTCCTTCCATTGTCCAATACCCCTGAATCCCTTCCATCTCATCTTCACTGAACTCCTCCCACCCCCATCTCTGCACCTCTAGATAGGGTTGTCAGATGGTTTCAACAAAAATACTGAACACTCCTCCCCCCCCCAAAAAAAAACCACCAAGGGAAAAAATCTGTTGAGGGGGGGAGAAAGGAGGGGACCAAAGTTGCTGAGCAAAAAAAAAGAAAAAAAGGTATGGCCCCTTTAATTAAGTGCAGAGTCAGAATAGGGATAGGATAAGGAGGGGTTGAGCACTAAGACCCATTGAAGGCATTGCTTCCAATTGCTCAGGTCTTGAGGTTTTTTTGCTGGTGGCCATCTTGTTTTTTTGGTTGAGCCAGAAGGGAGCTTCCCTGTGGAACCAGGTAAGCAGAGGGGGCGGGGGACTGGGGCCCAGAGGGTGTCCAGGGGCTGGGTCCAGTTGCTGAGTGTGTCGTAGGGTTGCCAGGTATCCAGTATTTTTGCCTCCTGGCCAGGAAAAAAAACAGAAAATACTGGACATTTCAGGTGACCGGTATTTTCTGAATTTTTTTACCGGACAGGAGGCAAAAATACCGGATTGTCCAGGTCAATACCGGACACCTAGCAACCCTACCTCTAGACAACACCTTACCCAGTCCCCTCTAATGATTTGCTTCCTTTGAACAAAATCAAACACGCTTCTGTGTTTTGCAGCAGCAAACTCGCTGACATCTGTTCGTGGCCACCAGTGCCAAAAGAAACCAATGATGAGATTCTGGGAGGCAGGAAATGCGCATCAGCCAAGGCAGTGTGTAATGGAACAAAAGTTTGTACCATTGAAGGTAGCAGATGGTCCCCAGGGAATGTTCCACGAGGCATACAGATAGTTCGGAATAGCTAGCTAGTTCGAACTATCTAGCCCGTGCCGCGTGTAGCCGCGCGGCACGGGGTTCGCACTAGCCGGCTTTTAAAAATGGCGGCGCCGGCTTTATGCTAATGAAGCCCGGGAAATTCAAATCCCGGGCTTCATTAGCAAGTTCGGTATGCATACATTACCCCAGACATACCCCTGGTGACTAAGGGGTTAAACTCAGGTACTTAGCAAGGGTGTTGGCAGGGGGCCAGAAGCACCAATGGGGATACAGTGCTGAAATCTGAATTGCATAAGATACCCTGCCTGCTTTCTTTGTATGGAGATGTGAAGCCTGGAGTTGAGAGAGACAGAATGATTTAAACCCAGGCAGGACTACCATGCCTCCAAGGAATATGGGCATGGAAGTGGATTGAACCAGCAAGGGATCGTGAGCAAATAGAGGGAAAAAGTGTATCTAGTCATCTTTGTTTTGGTTGTTTGGTTTAAACTTCTCTGTGTGAACTTAGAGCATGCATTCCCTCCCCCATTCACTAAGAGTTGTTCCCAGAGATTTTCTCTGTGTTTTAATTTGTTTTACTTAGTTGCTCCGTGCATCTAGCAACCTAGCATGTTTTATCAAGTAGATCTTTTCTTTCTTAATAAAAATCACTTTTTTTTAAGGTGGCGATTTTATTCTTGTGTCCTCGCAAGTAAAAGGGGGCCGTGTGTGTGTATTTGGCCACCTAGACTGGGGGGGGGGGGGGGGTTTCTCTCTTTTCTTTTTTCAATGTCTTTTGGGGCAAAAGATCTTGGGGTACCCTGGGGGAAGGAATTTCAGTGTTCCCTCTTGTTTTCTAGGGTAAAATCACTTGATGGTGGCAGCTTTTTCCCCCTCAGAGCCAGTGCATCTGTAACTCTGGGGAGTTTTTTGTAAGCAGAGCCTACAGAGGCGAAGTATTTAAGGTCTTTGCAGGCCCCCACCTTCTGCACTCCAAGTGCCAAAATGGGGAATAGCCCTGACAGACAGTGAGCAATCCCTGAATATCCCTCTCAGGGACAGTGAAAGGTGGGATGTCCTCGACCCACACAGGTGGAGTGAAGCTGTGCTGTTGGGCACAGAAATGAGGGAGGGGTAGAAGCAGAGAGCCCTGTGTGTTCCCCAGACTTCTTGCCACATCACCCATCTGAGGGCAGTACCTTCTGCACTGAGAATGAGAGAGAACTGCAGGGCCAAACGGGAGAAATGGGAATAACGTTGTAATGGGTGTCTTCTCCCCTAAATTGGTCACAGCCACCCCTTTGGTGCTCAGGGCCACATACTGATCCTCCGGTGCGACCTGTCCTCTCAGCCTGTCTCACTTACACTCCACCAACAGGCGCAGCTGAGTGAAAGGCCCCGATAAAAGGATTAAACAGGCTTCTTCTTACTCATCCACCCCTCCCTTCACTTAGGTTGATTTCCTGTGGGACTCGTCTGCTTCTACTCCTGTGCTCGCTCCCTTAGTCATGTATATCACGAGTTTAAATTGGCAAGTACAGTCCTTAGGGTGCTGGCCTCATTTTCCCGCCTCATGTGACTCTATGGCAATAGATAAACCCTTAGCTTGGGGAGCCAGAGAGACTGATCGCTCAGCCCAAGGGGTGCAGTGCAAGGAGACACGCATGCCTAGGCCCCATGTCTTCCACAGAGATTCCCATAGCCTGTGGAAGACAATGGAAAGATGAGGGGCTCTACCAGCCTTTAGGAATTGTGGGAATGTACCTGGGTCCTGATGAAACTCGACCCATCAGTGACTTCCACTGTAAGGTTATAGCTTGGCTTCTTCTTTGCCTCGAGGGCTCTCGCAATGACCATGCTGCCGGTGCTCTTTTCAATATCAAAATCCATGTCATCGTCGCCACCTGGGACGGGGCAGAGAAATAAAGGGGGGAGGGGAAGGCAACGGGGTAAGAATAATTAATAATAAATATTAGAAAAGGAGAGGGATCTGGGTATGTGTGAACTGAAGCTTTGCAAGGGGCGTAGCTGTGGAAGGACTCTTGGCAGCTGGCAGGCGTTCTAACATCCCACCACTAGGACCAGGTGGGAAGTACGCAGCTAGGACACGAGGGAGGATGCTCCAGTGAACGTCTTTTTCTTGTTGTTTGGTGTAAATTCTACAAGGCCTGACCAGAGGCCGAGGGAAGACCGGGGTATCTCCAGCTGAGGAGAAGGATGAGGAAGGTATCGCAGGCCTAGAACTGTCAGGGGAGACAGAGTGTGCTGGTTTCATCCCAGGTGGGAATTTTCCTCCCTTAACCCCCAGTCCTAGTCCCTGGCATGCCTCCAGGCCTCACTGTAGTCACGGCGAGAGCTGGGCGGGGGAAGGCCGATCTGTTAAATCTCCCAGATAGGCCAGAGATTCCCAAGTTTGGGCCCGTCTCTCGGTGGTAGGAGCCTTGGATGGAAGCATTAAGGATCTAAACCACACAGACTCCTAGGAGCCCTTGAGAATGGTAACCATAGAGACCCAGCCCTCAGATCATGCACAGCCAGGGGATGGGTGAGGACGGGCTGTGGGTAGAACGGTGCTGGGTAGGCAGTTGCTCTAGCTGTACTTCTGGGGCCATGGGCAGGTGGGGGCTACACTCTAGGCAGGGTGTCTATGGCCCGGCCATCCTATTGTTGGCGAGCAGTGGGAAACACTGAGGGACAAAGAGGGGAACCAGAAAAGTGCTGGGGGAAGCTAGGGCAGAGAGGTGGCCAGGGGACACGCTAGTGGTGAAATAGGGAACCACGCAAAAACAAAAGGGCTGTGTCTAGACTGGCCAGTTTTTCTGGAAAATCAGCTGCTTTTGCGGAAAACCTTGCCAGCTGTCTACACTGGCCGCTTGAATTTCCTCAAGAGCACTGACGAGCTCATGTAAGAAATGAGCTTCTTGCGGAAATACGATGCTGCTCCCGTTCAAGCAAAAGTCCCTTTTGCGCAAAAGTTTTGAGCAAAAGGGCCAGTGTAGACAGCTCAGATTTGTTTTGCGCAAAAAAGCCCCGATCGCGAAAATGGCGATTGGGGCTTTTTTACGGAAAAGCACGTCTAGATTGGCACGGCTGCTTTTCCGCAATACCCAATGTAGACGCTCTTTTCAGAAAATGCTTTTAACAGAAAGCTTTTCTGTTAAAAGCATTTCCGGAAAATCATGTCAGTCTAGACGCAGCCAAGGGTGCAAGAGAAATCTCAGATGGGAGACAAAGCAGAAAGGGGTGAGGGGAAGAAGACTGACGTTATGCAAATGAGACCATGGCTATTCCAATTTGAAAATGAGGGCATTGCCTCGTTTGCATCAGCTCTCCAGATTTCTGGCTCTACGGGCTTATCGCCGATGGGCGTGGGGGTGACTTTGCACCAGGGAAAGCCGCAGTGGCTTTCAAACTCAAGGTTGCTCTGACAGTACGATAGTGGTGTCCTTCCTCACCGTGGCAGGGAGCCTGCGAGCTCTGGAGAAGCCCAACGCTGAGCAGCTGCAGAAGCAGACGGCGCTCCCAGTATGAGCAAGGGCCGTTGCTCCAGCCCAGATGGTTGCATCACGTAGACTTGAGGAACTCGGTGGAAGAGTCATCCCTCCTGCTCTTGCCAGCAGCCCAAGGATGACAGCCCCTTCCTTGTGTTTCTCACTCTATTTGCTTGTGACATGCAAACCGCCATTGGAATAGTCCGGTTTGGAGGCGGTGAGAGACCGTTTGGGCCTCTGCCAGAGTTCCCCGTATTCTGAAGCAAGCTGATTTTCCTATGAGCATCTAATGGTGCCGCTATCAGAGGGTGTGGGGAAATCTGGACTGACACAGAGCGAGAGAGACAAAAGAAGCTGAGACTGAGGAAAAGAAAGAGACAAGTGGATTCTCTTCCACTAGCAGAGGCGATCAGTCTGCTAACCTCGCTTGCTTGGAGCAGTGGGGTCAGAGGAGAGGAGAAAACCAGGCAAGGACAAACTCCAAACAGGAGAGGAAAGAAAATGCTCCCAGACGGCTAAGGAAAATGGGAAATTCCTTCCCTTTCTTTAGCCGCCGCCCCCTTCAAAGCAGCCAGTCTGGAGTTTCTCTCTCTCAGCCGTCAAACCTCCTCCCACCCCCGTGAGAAAAACCCTGAGAGCTGTGCTATTCACAATGGGCATAGCCACGGGTGGGCCATGGCCCACCCATTCTGTTTCGAGGCCTTCTCCTCGCCAGCCCATGCAGCACTCCTGCTGGGGAGCAGGGCCGGGATGCCAGGACTTCCCCTGCTTTGCCTGGAGCTCCAGCCCAGGAGCCAGGGCAGGGCTTACCCGGCTCCGCCTTGTGCTACAGCCAGGGAGTGGGGGTAGGGCCAGGCTGCTAGGGCTTAACCCCACCTCCCAGAATGGCCCATGCACCGAAATCAGCCTCCTCCCCGACCCCCGTGGGCCCTTCTGGCTACGACAAGGAGGCCCCAAACTAGGAGGAGGAGCACCCGGAGCTCTGACCAGCAGCCCAGTTCTGAACCCCTAGCTTCGCTCAGTGCAATCCATGGGCAAAGCCGCTCCAACTCCACCGTCTGCCTTGCCACAAAGCAGCCCCAAAGGGGAGGCCTAAAGCTGCCTCACCTGGAGAACTGTCATGGGCAAGCATCTCTGTCAGCAGCAAGGGAAAGACACGCTCTCTACAGCAAACCTGAGCTGATGGAAATCACAGGGTGTCTCAGAGCAGACTGGCGGAGGTAGAAGAGGAGTCCCAAAGGAATGGTTTTACCAGCAGAATCATAAAGTGCCCTGAGCAAAGCAAGTGTGGTAACCAGGTCAGCCAATCAGGGACCCTCCAAGATGTTTCACCAGGCTGCAGTGCAAGGCAGTGTTCCCTCAAATCTTTTCCATGCATGTGCGGAATAATGTGTTATGTGCACCGAGGCAAGTGCAAATGTGCACCACCAGCAGAAACAAAAAACCTAGATATGGGTGCTCTGCTAATCAGCTTAGCTCAGTTTACGGGGAACACTGCAGAGGGCATGATTGCTACATATTTCCTATGAGCCATGTGAGTCTCTCACCCCCAGTGTCTTCCAGGGCAAGAGATTTCATTAGTGATGGGCAAGTGCCAGAAATGTCATGGTAAAAGATGATGGATAATTGTTCTTGTGCACCAGCTCTTTGAATGGAGTCTCTGTGTTTTCTATGTAGTCAGGCGGGACGCCATGTGATGCCTACATGGAGGCTTCTCTCTTAATCTTGAGTAAACACCTTTGTTAGCTCAGGGCATGTACATGCTGGATGCCAAGGGGAACGGGGCAAAATTCTTCCAGCTCTTAGACGCCAGAGTGTCCCGTTTCCCACTGGTGCCTCACCTGTGATGGTAAACCAGAGCGGGCTGGGTCCAATCTCAACACTGATCACTCCCACCATGTGGTTCACAGGGTCCGTTTCCATCACCGCAAAGTTAAAATGGGGCTCGTCGAAAGCGAGTGGCTCTGAGGAAGGGCCCGGGCGGGCGACCCAACTGATGTGAAGCCGCACGCTGGCGGAAAGTGGGGGGCTGCCGTTGTCTGTCGCCTTGACCTGTCAAGGAACACAGGGGTCATGTTTCAGGGAGAAGTGCTGGGTTAGCAGTCCCTCCCTCTCATCCGGTTGGGCTGACGTTCCCGGAGCCCTGCATGATACTTCCCTGTAGTTTCTCTTTGAGTTTCAAGTCTGAACGCACCCAAAAACCCACAAAGCAAATTTCACTCCGAGGGGCTGAGTTTCACCTGCTTTCACAGTGAAGTCATGCAAACCAGATTCCTCTGGGTCACAAAGTAAATCCCCAGGCTCACTCCAAATCAGACCCATGCTTGTGTCAAAGCAGAAAGGGGGCCCGGCCAGGACTCTGGATCCAAAGGCTCCTGAACTTGGCAGAAGTTTGAACCTGGATCCATACTCTGTAAGCTGGGTCTGTACTTCTCTTTGCAAAGGGCCAGAAGCAGAATCCCAAATCTAAGACCTTTAAAAGTATGGGAAAGCTCAGATTCAGTTCCAAACCCAGGGGAGATCATGGGGATGATCCAGGGATGGATCCCTGAAATAATAAGGTGCACTGCACCTCAGACTTTCCCTCCATTTCTCATACCTTCATCTCTCTTTCATTGGTTCTCTTTGTCCCTTCAGCTGTGCCCATCTCTCCTTCCCGACTCTCCCTTCCACAGATCCTTCTCATCTGCCTCCTCTCCGTCTTTCCTCTCTCGTTTTCTCCCTCCCTCTACTTCTTTCCCCCTCCTCCTCTCCCTTCACAGGCGTTCTCTCTCTGGGCCCCTCTCACCGTTAGGATGTTGTATTCCGAGGCCAGGAAAGCCTTTCTGGAGAACAGCACGCCTGTCCCAGGGCTGATGGTGAATATCCCTTCCTCATTCTCCTCAATGCTATAGGTGACCTGTCCATTCTGCCCCACATCACGGTCGGAGGCGATCACCCTGCAGACTGGCAATGGCGACTCAGACGCAGCTCTCTCTAGGAGCTGAACCATGAAGAGCTTGTGGGGGAAGCTGGGAGGGTTGTCGTTGGCATCCAGGACCTGGACCACAACTTTGGCAGTAGACTTCAAGGTCGGGTCTCCGTTGTCCGAAACCACAACCTGCAAGCAAACCAGGGGACTCATGAGCCGC